TATATAAATTCCTAGTTAGAGAATAAATATATTATCCCTGCTTCGTATTTTTTTATTCCATTCCCTGTAGTTTTGATGTCGCTGATTTGTTCTTTTTTTTTTAATAATAATTCATTTGGTGATGTGCTTTTCAGAGAATTTAGGATTCTGATTTATAAATATATATAATATGTTCATAATATACAAGTTGTGGGCGCGTACATTATCATTAATGGAAAACAAGGGCTATTTTGAATATTGCGAAATTATAAAAAAAATTATTTCAAAGGATATTATCGACCTCCGTAAATATATTCAATAATGTTATGATGATCTCCTTAATTTACATACAAAGAATCACCACTTTTTAATTTTTTGTCTTTTAAGGTATAAAACAACGATTTGATTTAGTTCATTTAATTAGAAATGAGACCAGGAAAACAAGGTGGTAAATTAGTTTTCGAGTCATTGAGAAAGTACATTTAAAGTTTCCGTCTTAAAATTTGTTCAGAATCCCATTCTTCTTTTATGCATGGATATAATGTTATCTGTACTTTTTTTAGAACGTTAACATCAAATATCTTACGGACTTTGGTCACTTGCTTGAAACATCTATTACTTTTCTATTTTTTAGCAAATTTGTTTCAGTTTCTATGTTGGTATAAAAAAAAAATATGTAGGAAACAGATTTTTTTAATAGCCTAATAATTTTATTTTTAAATTTGTAATTCTTAGAGCTACAGAATGCTTATCTGGGAAAAATTAGAAATTATTTCATTATTATGAACGTTTAATTTGAATGTATAACTTAGAATCCTGAATTCTTTTATTGCTCCGTAAATGTACATATTGTATGCTTTATCTTGTATAAAAATAAATGAGTGTCGATATAATTTCAGCAGCACTAAATTATAAATGTATAAAGAGCATTCATTGTTCACTGTAGCAGTTTGGATATACAAGTCCAGGAAAAGATGAATATATATATTTTCGGTGTAACTGAGAATATTTATACTAGGTGTAATTTAAATTAACCGTAACATATTTTTACACAACTGTTTCTGTATAAAATCCATGTAGTGCTTATTGTAGGTTTATTTCCGTTTAACTGTAGCAGCCTGTATGTTCTCTGTTTTCGTTTTCCTTCAGTTCTGTACAGTTTTTTGACACACTGTAACTATTAACTTGCTGTTAAAATTATCTTTATACTTACGTGCAAGTGAGTTGAAATTAAAATTTAACAATCTGTCTATGTAGTTTGAATACAAATTCCTTCCCTTTTGTTTCTATACTACGCCATACAATAGCTTTATGCAACCAGTTATGAATTGACTTATTTTATATAATAAGTGAATATTTTCGGGACGAGTTCGTAACATGTTACATACAAAATTTCAATTATATTTAAAAATGTAACTTATTATTATCTATGCTTTCGCTCACTTTGTATATCTATGCAACCAGTATTACTTTTGTATTGTTAGTTGCATAAGTTACATAGGCATATTGGGATATCATAGGTTCTTTTATTCGTCCCACTGGTGTAGGAATGAACTACATCGACGCACACCATACCCTTCGTTTGGCCCTGTGTAAAATCCACTACACCTTCCTGTCGGTGATGTGGTGTCTCCACTGGTGAATTTTTTCTTCACCTAGCTATTTAGCAGGAGTGAATTACGCTCGACATGTGTATAAGGAATAAGGAGGGAAGTAAATAAGGTGGTGTAAAACTGGTGTAATTTACACTGGTGGACACTGCACCAACAGCGAAAGAAAGAACCTATTATTTGGAAAATCAAAAATAATTTTTCTCAACCACTATTTGTTGTCGAGTGGTTTTCTTGCTCTAGCTTGTTAGTTTTCAAGAAAGTGAGTTGATTTCTCGTGTATTATGATTGTGTCAGTGTTTTCGATTATTTTGTGTTTTGTAAAACCAACCTTTAAGGTCGAAGTATAAAGTTGCAGTTCCATCCCAGTAAACCATAAATAGTCGGCATTCGGTCGGCCTGACACCGGCATGTACGGGAAGATGAGTACAAGGATTGCCGTTGTCGGGGTTGTTTCTGAGCCGGGAGGACCGTAATATTTAACGTAATTTGGAAGTAGAAACCGCATGTGGTCTATATTTGGCTTTCCGGACCGAACGCGGTCCATATTTGGCTAGCCGGGTATGGGAGGTATCCTTAACGGACCGAACCTATACAGGGTGTTTCCGAACTTGGCGTCCAAATTTGTAGGGGTGGTAGGTCGCATAATTTGAGACCGATTCGCAGATTTCATTTTTCCAAAATATTTAAAATAAAAATAATTAAAAATTATAAACAGGTACGGGCCTGCACAGAGATGGGATCGCTCGCGCTACGCTTAGAATCGATAAATTGCAAATCACATCTATTTTTGAGGACTATTGCGCTACGCGCTCAGGGTAGGACCTGCTCTTTGATTTTTTTTAAATGGCTCTATTTTGTTTATTATAATTTTTCTAAAAAAATGAAATCTGCCAATCGCTTTCAAATTATGCGAACTACCACCCCTACAAATTTGGACGCCAAGTTCGGAAACACCCTGTATATAGATATCTACGATGTATATAGTTGCTGCTGACATTCGGCTGGGCGGATATGCCCTACCTATATATGCCCAATCTTCACAACTGCAAGTTTATAAATCCTGTATCCTGTATTCCTTCGATAGCATGGAGGAAGGATTTTCGATAGTTTACTTTCAAATTGATATTAAAACCAAAGAAGAGGTTTATTTTTGTTTTCTTTTCGCAACTGGTGACATATAATAATGAATTTTCCTTATATATATATTAATGCCGCGTTTGAGAATCCACATCGAATGCATCTGAGATGTAGTAAATCTTTGATCACGTGATTCAGTATACGTAAATGTAATGGGACAGATGTGTCCGATGTGGATAAAAAAACGCTCGAGATGTAAAAAATGCATCCGATGTGGATTCTCAAACGCGGCAATTAAACTGGAAGAACATAGCGAATGTCTCTGACATAGCCGATTAACAAAATCAAGCGGCATAGCGAGGTGATATTTGACATTTAGGCGCCCACACGTGCGTATCAAAAAGCACTAAAAAGGATCATCAAAATTAAATTTAACACTTATTACATTCAATTACGACACCTTTTAATTTAAGAAAATCAACTAAAAATGATTTTTGTTTAATACGCAGCTGAAACAAATGTTCCAATAATAATAATAATTATTATTAAAATAGCGCGTTATTAATAAAAATAATATAACTTATCGTAGTACGCCCATGGGAAACGTGACGTAGATGCTCGAAATTGACAGTCTGGCGTCCAAATTGTCATGCGCACAGATCGTTTTTTTCACCCATGTTGGCTTAGAAATTAGGAGTAGGGTTTGTCATATAGACATCCAATTTAATATCAAGGTCGATGGTCCAGCTTTACTATTTAATATTTCTAAAAGATTTCAAATTTTCATTTCAGAAATATTACTGTGAAATATTATATTTAGTGGACATTTTTACGTTTCAGGCATATTTCAGAAATATTTTTGGGATGTTTCGTAATATTTATACAACACTGCAAATGTTTCAATGTAACATTATTGAAATATTTCCAAAATGTGTTTGTGTTGTATGGGATGGCTGTGAACAACTCAAAACGTTGTTTTGATTAATGAACGGCCACTAGAATCGACAATCAGTATCAAGAATTATCCTGATTTATGGAATATATTATTGTGACTTTTCTCTATGACTGTCTACCTTATAAGTAGGTAGTTTTTGTAAAAGTAAAAAAGTAGATCATGGAAAAGAAGAAGAAAATGGTCTTGATGACAGCTGACGTCTGTTTATTATTGTTTTGTTTGCGTCTTGTTTTTACGCTATTCCAAAAATTTACAAATTACTCAAATCAGTGTTGCCGTTGCTATTACAATTGTAACAAATCTATTACTAAAAAGTTACACCAGTACGTTATTACGACTTTTAAGAAATGATGATAAATCTATTACTTTTTAAAATATCGAAATTTTATGAGTGGCTCTATTTAAACTTCAGGGGACCTATTTTCAAAGTATGTGAGCACTCATTTCTCTCAAGATTCTCATCAGAAATGTCATACGTCAATGTGGAAACGCTGTATTTAAAGACATCGAGGATTAAAATTCTTAGGAGAATTTTAATTATCTCTAAATAAACCGAGAGAAACAGTCAGTGAGTTCACACTGGCCCTAAGAGCCCTAAAAATACGGTTTTACGTTGACGTATGACATATCTCTTGATGGAAATGAATTCTCTCGAGTTTGAAAATAGGTCCCCAGAGCTTATACTTACAAAAATTTAGGAATCTATACATTTGTTATTTCTGTATTTTCTTGTTTCAACAAATCCAAGATAGGCGTCACTTTATTATATTGTATTATTTTTTATGGGTCAGTTTTTAATTTAGTAGAGGATTACCACCAGCCTCCAGCATTTCAGCATAATTTATATATTGTTTTTAATAACGTAGACCCCTTCAAGACTAAAGAAATATTAAATTACAAAAATTTACCCTATAAAATAAAAAAATTCACTGGATGAACCATTTGTTTAAAATTTAAAAAAATTAATTTGTGATTTATTAGCATTACCCCATTCTTTTGCAGCAGCAGAAATAATTTTTTCTTAACTAAATAATAAGTTTTATTGTTAAATGTATTTAGCGCCGATTCCACCGATGTGTTAAACGGAGATTAAAATGACATTGTTAATGTAAAAAATGTCATTTTAAAATTCGTTTAACACAACGGTGGAATCGGTCCTTAATAATAGTTCTGGTACATTTATGTTACTTTAAAATATTATCTATTACGATTTTATTACCTTTTGGTTCAAAATTCTATTACGAAAAAATTTATTGGTGTGGCAACACTGACTCAAATTAGTCCCTGAAAATTACAAAAATATAAATTCTATTGCCGGTGGTAGTTAGTTTAATAGTTTGTGATTTATTTTAGGATCGAGTTTTTATTTACAGAATATGGCTTCTCTAAAACCAAGGAATTCCAATGGGAAAATTCTTTTAGATCAGCTAACTAAAGAATTGTTTTCAAATAACATACTTGATGCCAGAAAAGCTCAAGGCGAGACCGTTGATTTTGATTTTAATAAAAGCAGATGCAAAGTTCTATCTCAAAATGAACATTTTAAAGATAAATCTAGTGGTATTATGTACTGGATGTACAGAGATTGCCGAGTTCAAGATAACTGGGCTATGATTTTCGCCCAAAGATTGGCTGTTAAACACAAGTTACCATTATTTGTATGTTTTAGTATTAAAGATGCTCACAATCAGTATCCTACTCAAAGACATTTTAAGTTTTTGGTTGAAGGTAGATATTTTAAAATTAAAATATTTTATGCACTTTAAATAAAAATTATTAGAAAATACGGGTTTACTTTTAAGTAAAAAACATATTTAAGTATTCTAATGGTATAAAATAAAAGATAATGAGGATGGCTAAGAGGACAGATGGAATGTGTTACAGAATTCACCTATTTCACTAAAACATTCTTAATTCTGGATTCCAACAGTGGTGTGTTTCAATCGAAAGCTATTGAATGTTTGGTGAATTATTGTTTGTTTTATTTACTGTCAACCATTTCCACCCTCTAAAATAGACTGTGGAATAGGTAATTTAGAATGACAGTTGCAGTAAAGTGAGTGTTCTGTTATGGTAGATAAGTATATCTTTTGTGGTGCTGTGGTTGCATTAGGTGTTGACAGTGACATGTATTTCGAACAAGAACAATAATTCTAATAGTTCATTCAACTGGTGCAAAGTCAGTCCAAGTTATGTTTAGTACCTGAGCAATGTTAAGTGATATTTTTTGGTGTTTGTTTTGTGTAGTAATAAGATTTTTACACACTTAGGTATTCTAATGCAGATGTGCCAAAAAAGTTATTAAGAAACTAAGAATTTTATCACATGCATAAATATTAAGTATAATGATTTAATCATTTTTGACATTTTATTTTTCATATGTAGGTATTGTATTTTGTGAAATATGTTTTTCTTTTTTTAAATAAATTTAATAAACAATGAACTGCAGATTTTGTTTATTTTATTTTCAAATTATATTTAAAAAAATATAATAAATCCACGTGTTTCAATTAGGATTGGTCAAAGAGGGCGAAATCCCTTTATTATGGCTAAATTGTAAGTTACAATTATGTCAATATAAAGATCTTTTGCCCATTCATATTTACATTTATTGAATGAATCATACTGGAGTTGATTTTGGAAATATTGGTGCATACATAAATAAGTACTATTTTTAAAAATTCGTCTATGCCCAGACAGCACACAGTCCAATGGATGTCCACTTTAGATCTATTTGAGGGTCAGGACGTCCATATCCGGGCATCCACTGTACGTCCGTTTATGCTAATTAAATTGACAGCTGAATATCGATACCCAGAGAACGTCTGTTTTTGGACTTAATTTTAAGTTTAATAGTATTTTGACGTCCAGTGGACGTCCATCTTAGGTCATTATTTATTAAGCCTACTAGATAATACCCATCTATATATACTTATTTTTTTTTTAATATAACTGGTCATTAAAAATTGACAAATTGAATCTATTGCATTTCATTCTATCAGCAGAAGTTTGAAATCTTATTCAAATATAACTGTATCTAGTAAAAAGTTTTCAAGTGGTTCCTTGGTCGAGCTCGTCTAGCGATTGAAAGCGTAAAACGATAATGGATGTGTCGTGAGTTTGAATCCTGCTCAGGTCAAGCGATTTTTAATAAAAAAAAAATAAATGGTGTATAGCGGTTTGCGAAAATAATAAACAAATTATAAAATAGTGTGTGGTGAGTTGCGGTTCTGTAAAAAAGTAGGGATGTGGTCTCAATGAAAATATAATCATATACGTTTTTGAATGTCCAGTATTCGACGTCCAAATATATTCCAGAATTGGACGTCCTCTGAATGGTCATAAGTGTGCCATTTGTATACTTCACTGGACGTCCATTGGATGTCGGAAGTCCAGAAAAAACTAATTTTTGGACGTCTAGACAGCCAAAATTGTATATCGAATACACGTTCAATGGACATATATTTGTATTGTCTGGATGATAGCCAGGCCACGTATTTAACTCTAAATACATAAACCTTAAATTACATCTGGCTTAACTTGGCGAGAAAACACTTGTTTTTACAGAAATGAGTGATAAAAAGTCCTTTTAATATAATATAAATCCAGAAATTCTAAAAATATGTAAGTACTTTTTAAACCTAAAAACTTTGAAAATATAAGCACATTGCAAATATTTAGTTAAATCTCTCAAACTTAATGTCTTTGTTACCTAATTTTTTTTTGGCACCCTTAATTTTATTTACCTTATTTTTACTTAAGGAAAAGTTAATTTAATTTAAATATGAGGCTTTTATTACATTTTTAACAATAAATAAACCAAATATTGAATGAATTTTATAGATAAATTATAAAATAATAAACGTCTTTTACTTTTATAACAAATAATTAATTATTACATAATGAATTATATTTTGGTGCCGACATTTCACCATTGCTATTAACCCTAACTACTTCAATGTAATTAAATCACATTGCAACATTTGCGCATGGACTATAACAATAATTTCAGATAATTTGCCAAACTATTTCGCTCAGTGTAGAAAATAAGCATGTTTTCTCAGCGTGCTAAGTTGTGTATTAATCAAAGTCATGCTGTGAAAAAGGTACATCCGATATCAAAGGCACCGACAGCTACTGTCGCTTCTCCTTGATCTGTATTCTCGGCTAAAACTTTCACATTAGTCATGCACGAAAAAAGTGCAGGATTTTTGAATCTAGTGATTTTCCAAACACTTGCTAGCTCTCTCTTATCCTTGGCTTACAACTGCTGGGTTGGCTGCTACAATTACTTTAAACTGTCAGTGATTCTATATAGTAGGGAGCCAATGAAATTTTTAGTACATATTTCCACAAAGCTAAATTATATTATCTTTTCTTACCCTGTAGAAAATGGAAATACTTTATTGCAGTTTAATAGTTTATCATTATTATGTCATATTATTTAGATTGACTCTATTTGAGGTTTTTTGTTTTTATTTGTGACTTTGTACTGAAAGTGGGCAAGCCCGTGAATAAATAAATAAATATCAATAAAAGAACCTCACCATTGTCGAACTGGTTCACACTTAGAGTGCATTGCTCGATATAATTTTCGAATTAAAAAAATGCTGCCCTACATCAGTGCAGAACTAAAACTGCTCTGGCATCGAGTAAAAGTGTTCAAGAGTTGAATGTGCTATAGGTCATTCTCATCAAAATCATCATCCTATATTCTTCTTGCAATGATGGTAACTGCATAATTAATTACTCGATTCATTCAGGTCCTTTCTTTTTCTATCAAAACAAAACGCAAATTCAAATAAAATCTTTCCAGTAAAATATATTATTTGATAAGTTGTTGACAGGAAGGAACACCAGAAAACTTAGCAGGAACCGTTCTTTTTATGTTACAAATGATGTATGCAACACAATTTCACCGAAACTGATGAATTTTGTAACATGTTCATATTGTAGGTATGTCCATTTTTCCAAAAATTGTTGATTATATAGGTCCTTCGAAGTGAAATTTTTATGGTACCCAAATATTGTACTTCTGCTTGAAACGGTTTACCAGTTAGTAAAGTAATATTAATACAAATTATACAGGTCGTCATAGTCACCTCCAACTTTTAAATGGATTTTACTCAAAAAAATATTTTTGGACATACATTTTTTGTCCTCTTAGTCATCGTTGTATATGCATATTCAAAGATTACCTAAAAAGCGATTTTGAAGAATTGGTAGTATACCTCGATGCAAATAAATCAATTATTTATTTAGTACTCTATTAAAGAAAATAGTCAAGTAGATACCTACCTATAGATATTAAAAATTTTGAATTAAATCTTACCTTGTTTTTTTTATTTTATTAAAATTGTTCATTTTTGACTTTAGGTTTAAAGATTGTTCAGAAAGAATGCAAAGAATTAAATATTGGATTTCATGTCATAAACAGTTCTCCAAAAGATCTTGTCCAACTGATTGTTAATAATAATATAGGAGGAATCATCTGCGATTTTAGCCCATTGAAGCATCCCAAAAAGCTGCAGAATTGTCTTTTGGAAAATCTACCAGATGATGTACCATTGGTTCAAGTAAATCATTAAATTACCTTATAGATACCAATAAATCTGTTTTTATATAATAGTTAGTTTATCAAAAATTTGGTCTCATAAATCATCATTTTTAATATGTATTTCAGGTTGATGCACATAATATTGTGCCTGTGTGGATAGCTTCTGAAAAACAAGAGGGTATGGCAAAATTTTTGCGACCCAAAATAAACAAAAACTTGGATGAGTTTTTAACCGGGTTTCCTGTCGTATCCAAACATAAATATCAAGGCAAATTTAACGCAAAAGATGAAATAAAAAATATTGATGATGCCTTTAAGTATTACACTCCAAAATATGATGTTCCTTTTGTAAAATGGGGAGATGGATCTGCTGAAGCTGGTCTTAATATGTTACATCATTTCATTGTTAAAAATTTGAAAGAATATGGCGTTAGCAGTAATGATCCTTCAAAAGATAACACTTCTATGCTATCACCTTGGTTAAATTTTGGTTAGTGTAATATTTGAGATATTTAATAAATGTACTCGATTAATAACTTTTTTAATTATGTAATATTTTTCAGGTCAAATCAGTGCTCAGAGATGTGCCTTAGAAGTTAAAAGTGTTAATACATTGTACAAAGAACAGTGTGAAAAATATTTGGAAGAACTCATAGTGCGTAGCGAATTGTCTGATAACTTTTGTTATTATAACAATAATTATGATAATATCAATGGAGCCGCGAATTGGGCAAAGGAAACGTTAAAATTACATTCGTAAGTAACTATTAACATTTGCTAAAATGAACTGAAGCATGATCCTTTAGGTTTTCCATTTAGATACCTGCCGCATAATGTACTTGTTAATTAAGTGATAAATTTGGAAGTAAAAAAAAATATATATATATCTGATGTGTCTGTGGTTGTCATGGTAATGAATTTCGGTTACTGTAGACAAAGCTGTAGATTTAGTTAAAGTTATTTTTTTTTTTATAACAGGTGTAGAAGTTGGAAAGGCTTTTACCAGTTCTCCCACTTTATACACATAAATTAACAGGTTTGCGGCGGCGGAAATTATTTTATAGATGTTAATAACAATTTCGAGTAAAGAGTTTAATACATTCTGAATAGATATTAAAATTTTGTAAAATTATGATTTGAATATTATAATACATGTTTAATAATTATTTATAGTCCATAAATACATGCGATAGTCCGGTTCCGCCGGTAACAATTTAAAATTACTTATTCTATGAAACGACACTGTCAGGTAAACATTACTGCGAAATTCTCGAAGCCGTCCGACGTGGTTTGACGTTTACCCCCTCTCTACCTACCAAAAGTCTTTCCAACTTCTACTTGTGCCATATTAACATCTATAAAATAATTTTGTACACCAATGTATCGCATCCACTTCGGATAGATCCGCCGCAAATCTGTAAATTTATGTGTATAAAGTGGGAGAACTGGCAAAAGCCTGTCCAACGTCTACCCCTGCTATATATTAACGACGGCCAACTAATGTTTAGGAACCAATAGCGAATGCCATTCGTTGGCGTCATCTATACGCAGCTCTACTAAATAATTACCTATAGCCAAGAAAGCTTCTGGGAAATAATATTTACGTGTAGGTTAAATCTGTGGCGTTCCTCTGGAGCCCCTTTTCCAAAATTTGATTTAGTTAAAAAAATTAGCAAAGTTTAGATTATTTTGACAATTTTTTTTATGTTCAGAAAAAACTAAATGAAATTTTGGAGAAAAGGTTTCAGCGTAACACACATTTAACTTAACACGTACATAGGTATTTTTTTCTTTTACAATTCATTGACAAATGTGAATACAAGACACATTGTGAACATAAGACAAATGTGAATATAAAACTAAGACAAACTAGAATAAAATATAAATGTAAATTTTATTCTAATAAAATTAAACAGTATGTATAAAAAAAATTAAACAAAAAATTATTACACCGAGACCTGAATCTACACGACTTCTGGTTTGAAAAGTCAACGCCTCATCCACAAACCACATTTGCTAGATGCATTTGTTTGCGAAAGCCAAAGTCAAACGAGTTTAGTAGTTTGTGCAACAAGACAATCCACTCCAATAATTATTTTAGGTTTTTAAGAAAAAATAACTAATTTTAAAATAATTTATGACTTTTACTAATTTATAAAATAAAATAAACATGAAAAAAGATTTAATTTAATTAGTCCTCAGCTCAGATTTGAACCTGGACTTCTCGCGTGGAAGACAAGCCCCGTATCCTCACCTCCATCGCCACACTTATGATTTTAGTTCTGTTTTAATACTCGTAATTAAATTAGTTTTATATAGGTAGTTTGATTAAAATTTAAGATTTATTTGTAAATGTGGACAAAATAAAAAGAAATGCTGTTATTTATCGATTCTACACTAAAATAACACATTTTTACGTATATTGAATCTCAATATTTTAAAAATATATTGACAATTACTTTGACAGAATGTCACTCATATAAAATTAAAAAAATAATAGTAGCTGGGTTGCCAAAATATAAACTGTGATTGCTAGATTTAATTTTTTTGCAGTGTTCATACTAGATAGAATGGATATGAAATATATTCGTTAAGTTGAACGCAATGGCATACTTTTTCGTGTTGTAGTCTTTGCGTAGATAAGCTAATACCCATGTGGAAATTACAATATATATAATATATAACTACATATCAGTCTATTAAACGAATAAAACGTTATATCTGTTCTATAATATGTATCGGATCTGTGACGTAGGTATCTAATGCGCTCGCATTCATTTGCGAGCAATTTCTTGGTTCAGATACACACCGGATTTGAATCCTATGTGAATTTATTTGCATGGTTCTCTATAGGATTTGATGGATGCCGTATTAGCAGAAATTTCTGTTGATATGACATCCAGATTATAAAAATCGCCATGCGTTACCATTTCGATGATGGTGTATGTCAAATGGTACCATCAATCATCTTTCATTCGCCCGGAAGCGCCAAGGCAAATAATAATAATAATAATAGCCGCCCCTTCCCCGGACAAATTCAATTAAGGGGGTGAATTAGAGAGTATTATTGTTATTAAATCCACCAAACGTTTAGTAGCCCGCTAACTAAATATTCTATACCCACACGGATATTATACATATATTCTAAGCACATACTACAGAACCAAAAAGTAGGCCATTACATTCTGCTGAGTGAATATAATTTCATATTCATTCTAGAAAGAATACTGTACGGATATGTAATCCACCAATCACAGTTTATATTTGGTGATCGAGTTACCATATTATTTTTTAAATTTTAATTAATTGGCAATATTCTGCCAAACTAATTGTCATTATATTTCTTAGTTATTGGAAAAAATATAATTTAAAATGTGTATTTTTGTGAAGAATCGAAAAAAAAATAATAGCAAGATATTCGTCCATATTACAAATAAATCGTAAATTTTATTAACATTAAAACCAATATAATTATCTGTATTAAAAAAAAGGTCCGAGGTTCAAATCTAGGATGAGGACTAATTAATATATTTTTAAAATATTTATTTTATCTTAACCTCTAAATTAATTTATTTTTATTATTTATTTTTGATTATTTTTTTTTATTAGGATAAAATATTTAAAAATGAGTGATCCTTTTAACGAATCGATAAATAATAACAATTCGTTAGATATTCATCGTTAATAGTTAAAGACACCGAACATTTTGACAAAATTATAACAAAATGACCTAAACCAATAAGTGTAAATGTTAAAGATAAATAAATGATAAGTTATCGCGAAAGTTTAAGGGATGAGTTTTCTTACGAAAGGTCCGAGTGTTTTTTAAGTTTATTTTATTTTATAAATTAGTAAAATCTAGAAATTCAAATTTTGTGTTAAATATATTTAAAATTGTTATTTTATGTTAATAACCTTTAAATGACTTAAAATGCTGTGAATTTTCTTCAGGGATTGCTAGAAAAAATATGCCAACAATTTCTAGTATCTTCGTATCGCACTCCGCCTATGTGGCGTTGTAAACAAACTACGTCTCCGTGTAATTTGGTCATCTTTATCTATCAACTCTTGTTGCACAAACTATTATTTGGCTTGCATAAATATTTTATCTAATTTTTGTAGATCGTATGTTTTGAAAATAACATACGAAAGTACGAAACTTTTGAATTTGAAGTCAGTCGTTACAATACTTACGGTTCGAATTAAAAAATTGTGCACAAAAACAAATGTAGTGGATATTCTTGAGTGAATCCCCTTATTATTTGTTATTGTTTTTGAAATAATAATTATTATTTGCATTTTCTAAAATAGTTTCGTGCCAACCATGCCTATTTCGATTTTAACAACAAAAAAGGTTATCGGAATTTGAATAAAAACTGGCATCGCTGTTTATGTGTTTCTATGATTCAGCGTTTTTACCTTATATTCACCTAGCGAGCGAAAGTAGAGAAAATAGTTTTGAGCAAAATACCTTACGAAAGGAGGTTCGGGTCTTAGATATGTAACGTCTCAGAAGTCTAAATATTTTAAAAATAAACTGCCACCTTAAGAGACGATTCTCAACTAATTTTTCATGATTTTTTTAATAAAGTTATTTCTTAAAAGATTGATATAGACAAATCTTGAGTGCAAGTCGAGCGAAAAACTTTCAATTTTAAGCTACTAACTTATCACTAAATACCTATTTTCTATGGGGTTCAATTTTTTGACGAGTCCATCTGTATCACATTTTTCCTTGTGTTCTTATGTGTACAGAAATATAGAGTTATTTTTCGCAGCATAAACCAACATGAACGTTTATGATAGATTATGTTATTTAGACGTCTAAATAACATAATATATCATAAACGTGCAAGTTGATTTATGCCGCGAAAAATACCTTATATTTTAGTGACATTTATTTTTACCACCAAAATTTATTGATTCTCGGCGATCAAAGAAGTAAATTGCCCATTTTTTTGTTTTTTTTTCAGAAAAGACAAGCGAATGTGGACATATACCCGAGAACAACTTGAAAACGCAAATACCCATGACGAAATGTGGAACGCTGCTCAATTACAGGCTCACCAAGATGGTAAAATACATGGATATATGCGGATGTACTGGTGTAAAAAAATATTGGAATGGACAGAATCGCCCGAGAAAGCAATCGAATATGCTTTATGGTTAAATGACACGTTTTGCTTAGACGGAACTGACCCTAATGGATATGTTGGTAAATAAAGGTTATTTTTCTCGAAATTAATACCATAATAAGGTTAATTAAATATCGTAGGTGTGATGTGGTCGATTTGTGGGATTCATGACCAGGGCTGGAAGGAACGTGAAATATTTGGAAAAATTCGTTACATGGTTGATTACAGTTTGAAAAGAAAATTCGATATGGACGCTTACTGTGCACGCTTTGGAAGGAAAATTTTAGCCGAATCTAAGAAGAAGGGTTCTCAAGTAAATACTAATAGTTCAAAGAAAAAGGGGGTTAAACGGAAAGCTTCATAGTTTTGTTTAAATTTTATGTTAATCAAAACGTAATAACTAAATATTCATAAGAAACACAACACAGATTTGTTGGTGTATAAGAGAACAAAAATTTATTTAAGTACGGATAAATTAAGCACTATTATTTTTATTTCGTAATTTGAAATCATCATAATTATATTTCTTTTGACCTGATGTATTTCTTATTTATAATTTATTATTTTTGTACACAAACAAGATTTGTAAAATACATTTTTATGCAGTAAGTACTTGTGTTTACTTTGCACGTAGTGCGGCAAGTGCGGCACATTGTCTCAAAAAAAATTGTCATACGGACAAACCAAATAGGTAATTTTTTTTTAATGCGCTAGTTCAGTGTGATGTCATTTTGGTTCCACTGACATTTAATTCTAATCAAACTTTTAACAAAAACATCAATAAATTTGACATATACGTCTTTACTGTTTTTATTTTATTTCAAAATATTGTTTACAGGTCATAAAAAATATTTTAAAGGTATGTAATTGGTAACTAAACGATTGTATATTTGATACATGCTATCTACTTACGATATAATTTAGGTACCGTCAAGTGAAGGTACTTAATATCCAATTCATATAGACCTACGTCTATCTCTGTTTTAGCTAAGGACGGCTTAGTAATTAGGCATTCCAAACAAATGAATTACCAGTGGGCAGGTTTGGTATATCTAAGGGTGGCGACATATGGTGTATTCTATCTACTTTACGTAAAATCATGAATAATGGATTACATTTAAATATTTTATGTCAAACACAATAAAAATAATATTTAAAAAACCCACCTATACATTTCTTCATAAATTGGCAGGCTTGGCGACTACTACTTTGAATAAAAATAGCGTTCAAGTTGCAAGACTATGTCGCTACCCCCTTAGATATACAAGAATTTCCCACTGGCACCTATTGTTTGACAGGTCGTTGGAATGCCTAATTAGGATTGTTTATAATTTCAAAAAGTAGGAATAAAAAGTCGAGTTTTTTTTTTATAAAAGTATAATATAATTCATCAATTACAACATTGATATATTTATTACGCACTTACACATGCATGGCTAATATATTTTGTATTTAAGCTATTCTTTATTTTATATTTCAATATTTTTTATTTAAAATGCTAGCAAAATAAAAAATGTCTCCAAACCGATTTTTATATATTCTAAATGCTCATTGATACAATTTGCCTTATGTGAGAAACATTGATGATTCAAAGAACAATGTGTTTTCAAGTGGCGCAGTTCATAGAATGCCCAATTTGTTTAACGAAAGTATTGTTTGGAATATATAAACAATCTGTTTGGGGGAAAAATGGAAGATTTTTAGTAAATTAAAACCCGGCTTTAAAAATAAACAAAAACAAAATCAATAAATTAAAAAAATAGGGCACCGTTTCTACTATAAATAATGCCAATAAAAAAAACTAAACATCAAATTTTAGACTTAAATCTCGATAAATACTAATAAACAGGTACTTATTATCTCTAAAAGCGACGGATAATCTCAAATGGACTTGATGTTTGAGCGTTCCAATAAAGCTTTGATGGGTCTGTGTTCTTTCGTCGATTTTCCATCTGTAACATAGCCAGGCATTCTGGTTGTATTAACTTCAAACAATTCTGATTTCTCTCTATATTCTTTGAACACCCTGTCTAACGTGGACATGACAGCATCAACGTTTTCTTTTGTGAATACCATAGGAGGTTTAAATTTGATAATGTTGCTATGTGGGCCATCGATCGTTATCAGGATGTGTTCCTCTCTCATTCTGAAATTTATTATTGATCAAAAAACCGTTCAGATTTAGGGCCAATCTTTTCACCTCTGAGTAAAGTTACATGTAGGTTTACTCGACAGATTAACAAACAATAGCCCTATAGTTTAATCAGCAAGTAGTTACTTTCAACATTACTTCAGAGGTGAAAAGACTAGCCCTTAATGTCGTAAGTTACTTAGAAGGTTACTGGCAAATACGCCATATTAGTTAGACGCACATACTTTGATTAGAAAATCAAAGTATGTGGTTAGACCACATACTTTGATTACTATACAAGGCAAGAGAGAGGTCCGACACGCCCAACATAGGGCGCGGCCATTTTGAACCCTGTGACAGTTTACAGATAAAGAATCAGATCGCTCACTCTGCGTCGGCACTTTGGATCTCAATGTTTCAGTTTATACATTGCGCAACTCGGATAATACAATATATGACAACCGCCTATAATAAAATAGCAGTCTTTTGCGTATCCTGAATTTGTATCCCTGGAGTGGATGTTATTTTTGAACTTTCAACGGATTCGAGTGAGCTAACTGATTCTTTAGCAATAAACTGTGACTCAAAAAATAATATTCACTGACACTGACAGCAGCAAGCAAAATAAGAGGTGCGTTTTAATCATCCGCTTCTGCTTCCGGAATTGTCGGTTTAGTCGTTTTAACCTGTCAGATTAAAACAAGAAAACCGACAATTCCGAAGCAGAAGCGGATGATTAAAACGGACCCATTAAAAATATTGCGCCAAGATGTAGGCAACACGTAATAAGGGTTCAAAATGGCGGAGTTTTCTATCTCCTTTTAAAAGGCACTCTTAATTAAACAAATTATTGTTAATAAATATCTATTTAGTTAAAAACTCAGCCGGGGAAATCAAATACTTTGGAGCAAAATTTAAACCAATAAAATCATAAAAAGTAAAGAATATAAGTAAAATTAAGATATAAGAGTTGAATCATTTATTGTATAAAAGGGCAGTCGGTTAGACAGAAATTAGATATTAATACAGAAAGGGTCAATTAACAAAGTTCGACACCCTATAATAAATTAGCACGAGCTTACTCACTCAAGGGTAATTAACCAACCAGAAATTAAGAATATGTCTAACTATATCTTTACTTAACACCCAGAAAGGGGGTTTGTGATTATAAAAAGGGTAACCAGTCAAGCAGAAAGGAGACACACTACACACTAATGAAATAGATAGGGTCTTTGATTGGTTTAATTAGCTAATTAAAAAAGGCTCCTCCTGGTGCACCGGCCATTTTTATGCAATATGCATTAAAATAAAATATATTTTTTTGTATATTCTAATTTAGGATTCATATTCATAGGACAAAATAGTTTATATTATTCAACATCTTCTTGTATCAACCATTTTTATAGACGTCATACATAATACCATGGTAGGACACTGACAGTGATTCGTATTCGTGATTCGAAAAAATGGATTCAATTCATTTGATTCGAATCCTTTTTTTTTTTAAAAAGATCGTGATTCGAATCTATTTTTTGAGGACTCGTCCTAGCTCTGTTTGCAGACCATAAAAAATAGTTAGAATATATTTATAAAAGTTCAAAACTACGAGGTCTATTCAGTAAGTAAAGAGACAAATTCTATAATTTTAAAACTATTCAATGAATGTGTACAATCTTTTCAGGGGTGTTAGTTGGCAACCTTGGGATATACTCTGATCAGCTGTTTCATTATTTTATGTCAACATAACCTCAAAATTTTCAATTCACCATGACAAGTCCACTAGAAGATTGCACCTTAGAAGAGCAGCGCTCAGTCATTAGATTTTTAAAGGCGTAAAACCAAGTGAAATTTTTTCTAGAATGTTGATACAGTACGGTAAAAGTTGTATGAACCGTGCGAATTTTTACAAGAATTACTGTTGAAATGATAGCTGAGGAAGTTCAAGTAAGTGTTGGAACTGTTCACAATGTCATTCAGAACAATTTAAAGTACAGAAAAACGTGTGCCAGATGGGTTCCCAGACAGCTTACTGACGCTCATAAAGAATCAAGGCTTTCCATTAGTCAAGACTTAAAGCAACGAAGTTTGATTGAAGGAGACGCTATTTTTGAAAGAATAATGATCAGCGACGAGGTCTGGATCCATCACTACGACTCTGAGATCAAAAGGCAGAGTATGGAGTGGAAACACACTAGCTCTTCAGTTCGCAAAAAATTCAAGGTTCAACCTTCCGCCAGTAAAGTGATGCTGACCATCTTTTGGGACTCACAGGGTTCAGTCTATTGCGATTTCCTTGAAGATCAGCGAACTACTCTGAGATGCTAGAACACAAAGTTAGACCAGCTATCAGGAGCAAACGCCGTGGACTCTTGTCAAAAGGAGTTATTCTCTAGCACGATAACACCCGCCTTCATACAGTCCAGCTGACCCGTGACAAGCTTCAAGAATTGGGTTGGGAGGTCTTACCTCATCCTGCCTACAGTCTCGACCTCGCCCCATCTGATTGGACCACTCAAAGATGCCCTACGTGGAAAAAGATTTGCTAACAATGAGGAAGTTAAGGAAGCGGTGCAAAAGTGGCTTCGGGGTAAATCGAAAGAATTCTTCGCCAAGGGAATTAAGAAGCTGCAAGAAAGATGGGACAAGTGCATAACTGTGGGGGGTGATTATGTTGAAAAATAGCCCTCATTTGAAAGATTGAAATAAACCGGTTTTGAGCTATGGCCATTTGTCTTTACTTATCGAATGACCCTCGTATATAATGTAGGCAAACAAAACGAACAAAATGCACTTAAAACGTCTACTGTCACTGTAATCAGTGGAACCATAATTACATCATCATTAATTTATCGTATTGTGTTATTGTATAGTTGTGTCTGAAATTGTTAAGGTACGTCCTCGCCGAATCAACACTGTCGATCGACTCTGTCTATCGGACGTTGTCGACTTTGTGTGTGTACGCGGCAATCGACGGTGTTCATCGACACAATAAATCGATCGACATGTCGATTTGTTTTCCATCGCCTGTCGGTAAACATGAAAGAGCAGTCTATCGACTTTTGTGTGTGGACGTGTTTTCGACGTTCGACATTCGACAAACTGTTAGTACTGAGTATTGTGTACTCAGCAACGTCTTGCCTTGTTGACATTGTAGTTGTGTTTCCATTGGAGAAATAGAATGGGAACAAGATAAAGTCATAGCCTTTACTTTGAGGCATACAAACTGAGAACAGATCTATGGGATTCTAAAAACAAAAACTATAAGAGCAGAAAGTTGAGGCACAATGCTAATGAATTTAACGTCGAGAATCAAGCGGTAGAACAAAAAATTAAAAAGTCAATTTGCTAGAGAAGTAAAAAAATAAAGGACAGCAACAAATCTGGTAATAAATATTAAAATTCACTTTCCAAACATTCGAAAAAAAAATTCTAAAACCACCATTACACCTGTATTCAAGGCTCAATATGTCTTTTTTTAAATCTATCAAATGACTAGCTTTGTATCTAGTTCTACTTTGAAGACTTGGTCGAACCCAAAATCTTCTTTTGCTGTGCAAGTTTTCTTTTTTTAGTCGCAATAATAATATATGCGGCACAAGCAATTATAATGTCATCTTCGTCAAATATGTTAATTTCGAATGATCGACAAACACTTCTGTCAACTCTGGTGTGGACAGATGCAGTTTTGTAAACTTGTTGATCAACAATGTCAATAGACAGAGTCGATCGACAGTGTTGATTCGGTGAGGACGCACCTTTAGATTTTAAATCGATTAAGGCTGAGCTGTCACTCAGTGGTAAATAGTTTACTGTAAGTTTAATAATTATATTCCAAATATTATCCATATATCTGAAAGTGGTCCGAAGCAGATTACAAAAAAAAAAAACGTGGACGATGTTATCACATCAGGTAAACCCAGCCTTAACAACATAAGGATCTATATGTATTTTTTTACACCGTTCAGTGTTCCGTTATTAAATTGTGATTTTTGTAAAATATTATATATTACCTTTGGTGTACAAATTTGGCACATTTTGGATTAGGTTCCCTGGTTTCTCTATCTTTTACCAAGTCGATACCAACAAATAAACCAACTCCTCTTACGTCACCAATAACTTTGTGTTTTCTGGACAATATTTGACAGTTATCTAAAAGGTATTCCCCAACAACAACAGCGTTTTCTCTTAAATTCTCAGTCTCGATGGTATCGAATACTGCGTTTGCTATGGCACAGGACACTGGATTTCCTCCATACTAAAAAGAAAAATATTCATTCGCCTTTGATTTAAAGCTTTGTTTTAATTTGGTGGTTTGACATTTCAAACTTCCAACTTACCGTATTAAAATATTCTACTCCAGTCTTATTAAAACTTTCTGAAATTTCCTTAGTGGTAACAACACAGGCGACTGGATGACCGTTACCCATAGGTTTGCCCATAGTTACTATATCTGGATAAACGTCATATTGCTGGAAAGCCCACCAATGTTTCCCGATTCTTCCAAATCCAACTTGAACCTACGAAAATGGCAAAGTTAACAATATTATACAGATGTTTGTAGTGATAAATTGTTAAGGAAAGCGACATTCCTAGAAGTAACTCTACCCACTTTTTGGTAGGATTGACGCTTTCTATAGTAATTCTACCCTAAGTACCAGTTATCATTGTCGACGATTTATCTATGGCTCTTATACACAATCGGCCATCATGGGCGATCACAAGCAAGTACCATCGGCAATCGATGAGTTTGTTGGTTTTTCACACACAACAAAGGTTGCTGTTGTGTGTCCACACGATCGCCCAACATTCAATTTGCATTTGAATGTGGTAGGTACCAAGAAATAATTCTTGAAGATTTTACAATGGCGGCATGGGACTAACGATTAAACGTTTGAAATTATAGAACTGTATCAGGGCGAGAAAACAATTTGGAACCCTAAATTTAAAAATCACGAAGATTACGTTAAACAATCAGCATCTCCATCTTTAAGACTCTTATACAAGGAGAAAAAGAAGATGGTCGATACTGACTGTTCATCGTAATGGGTATTCCTTACGATGGTCCTCACCTGTGATCGCCCATTAGATATATCAGTGACTTCTGGAGTTATTTTAAAGAATATTAAAAAGTACAGTCCATCTATTATTTATTTGGTCATCAAATATTAGAAATACCCATACATGCAATAGGGAACCAAACAAAATTTTTCAGAAATTTTCTTTTTTGCCATTTTTTATTAAGACTTAAAGGAAAGCACATAGAATGAACCATTCTAGAGAATCAAAAGAAATTATATTCTTACCTCATCAGCTATACAAACTCCACCGCTAGCTCTGACTGCATCGTAAACCTCATTAAAGTACTGATTCGGAGGAATAACTTGTCCTCCGCAGCTTATCAAACTTTCAGCGATAAATGCGCACACTCCCTTTCCTTTTTCTTGGATTTTATTACAAATTGCTCGAACTTCTTCTGCGTACATGCTACCCAATTCTTCTTCAGATTTATTGGAGTCTCGATGTTTGCCTCTGTATGTGTCTGGAATGGGGGCCTGAAAGTAAAAAAGAAGGATTTATAATCGTATTTGTTTGCAGTTGATTCAAAATATACAAATGTAATTTACAGCTTTATATTTACAACCTTTTAGACCGAACCGTACATCTACCTTAATAGAATAATAATAATAACCTGTACCATTTGACACTTTCAAACCTTATTTTTTTATTAGAAACTTCTTACGGTCATAGTATTCGTTTAACGGACGGCCCCACGTTGGGCGCCAACTCTAGGTTGGTTGACAATACATAATCGAATACAAAGTTAAAAAGAATAATGTAATCTGCAGTAGCCTGCGGCTGCCATGGGAAACGAACGAATAAAAGAAGAAGTGCAATGTCACTCATCACCCGACAGTGTTCTGAGGTCGTCATAAGTACGAATAAAAGAAGAAGAGAAAATAGATGGACGTTGTACGTTAAAGTTGATAGCCGTGAATTGTAGAAGTAACGAGCTTAAGAATATTAATACTGAAGTGATTATAGCTGAGCAGATAAGATGAAACGCTCTGTAAGGATTTACAATGGGTCTAGTGAAATTTATTATTTTAAGTATTTAAGTTGAATAGAAAATTCTGAAAATCAATAAGTAGGGGTCTAGGATGGAAGAAATTTTCAAGTATAGTAAAAAGCGCAAATACATCGGCACCTTCCTTCGAGAGTAATCGTGTCGGCTCAAATACCTACATACGCATGCACAAAAGACTAGAGGTTTCTTCTTTTTCGTACTGTGAGCGGAAACTTGTAGAAAAGTGTTAAAAAAATGGAGGAAAGAAATGTTTTTATCGGCACGAATGCAAGCTGAGGCCCCATAGGTAAAGGAACTAAAAAGTAAACCCTTTTGATACTTGAATTAAAATGATGTTAGGACGGCATCTTAAAGAGCTCTAACTTCCTTAGCAAGCATTTTTGTATAACGTGATTTACGTCAAATAGGCATTAAATTTGAGTTTTATGAAGAGATTTTGTTGACCTATAATAAGGATATGGATGAGAAGGAACTTTACCAGAGACATCAAAAACTCAAAAATCGGCGAAGAAATAAAAAATTAAAGAAAAAAATTGTGGTATTAGAAAAAAAGACATGGAAGAACTATACCTATATATTAAAAAGTGATCCCTAGCATATGTATCGCCAGGTAAAACATAAAATAATGTATATGTTACGGGCAGTGTTGTAAATTGGGCACTAACGTCAGCAGAATGCCCAATCAAATAGGAGATTTGCGAAAATGACCGGCCAATATCGTTAAAGACCGAAACATCATCTTTGACCGTAACATATATACAGCTATTGGACTTTTAAAACAAATTATGACTTTTTTATTTATAGTTCTACCACCAAAAATTGAAGTACCAAAAAAAATATTTCTTAAGTTTTCATCAATGTGGAATTTGTATTAAATGTAGTAATTCCTTATTTAAAATGGAATACATATTGTCATAAATTAAATCAAAAATTGTTTAATCTTCAACCACCTACATAATATGACAAGTGACAAGTCTTTGAAAGTGTCAAACGTCAAATTAAGGTACTTCTACATAAAAAAATTATTTTCTTAAATCTTTTCTTTGCATAATTCTTGGCATACTTTGAATCAAAGTATGTGTAGATATTCGACTGGTACAGTTGACATTTCCAGTTTCTAACCTAATTTAATATATGTGTTTTTAACAGTAGTAGCTACTTATGCACTTATGGGTGGGCTTCCACCGGGATTTAAATCTTTTTTATAGAAGTCTGAATTTTAAAATTTGGTATTTAAATATTCCATATGAATTTTTGTTCATCCTGAAGTTTCTTGTGAACTGTGAAAGGTTTACAATCTTTATTTATTAATATACCTATAAAAGTAATAATTTTAATTTGCTTCTTTCTTAGAAAATTTTTCCACAACTTCATCCTAAATTCTGTGTCAATTTTTGTTTTCAACGTTTACAACTTTTCTATCTATATCATCGATAATATCTTCATCTTCATTATTACTGGATAATAATAAAGACAAAGATAACATATTTTAAAAATTGAAAATAAAACCTAACCTCTGAATCGGCACTGGCTGGCACTGAAAAAAAGTACAATTCCAAAAAATTCGAACTTTGAGCAAGCGTTTCTGCTAGTTGAACAAAAATATTATTGTGTCCTCGTGCCGGGCAATTCCAGTCGAATGCAACAACTGGTTCAGTTCTGCCAGTCGAACTATATGCGCACTAGTGCGACCAGTCGAATGCGCTATATTTTAACTCTTATTTTTTATATTTATATTCTCAAAGCTTTCAGCTCCAATCAGCCTGCCTTCTTCAGTGGTTTTATTATTTATTTTTTAATACCCCCTTATTGCTACAAAAGTTTCAAAATTTGATGAATATAAATATAATATATAGATATTGTTACACTGGTTTTTAAATTATGTTGCTGCTGTTCTAAATGAGTTTTTAGATGATCTTGTTGTTTCTCCAAATAAGTTTTTAACTTCTCTTGCTGTTGTGCTCCATTAGTTTTTAAAAACTTCTGTTTTGTGTGCCAAAAGATCTACTCTATTGTTAAGCTGACCAACCTCTTGCTTAAAGGTTTCCTGGATTTGTAGCAAACAGTTCATAATTTCAATCGTTTTTTTCTACGCTTCTTCCGCCTCTTTATTCGTTCTTCCTGCGTCTTTCCTTTTCCTCCTCTTCTTCCATTTTGCGACTTTCCTTTTCGTCCTCTTCTTCATTCCTGCGTATTTCCTTTTCCTCCTCCATCTTCAAAAACCATACTGGGGGACTTAAAAGGTTCTTTCGTTCGTCCCACTGGTGTAGGAATGAACTACACCAACCCACACCATACCTTTCGTTTGGCCCGGTGTAAAATCCACTACACCTTCCTGTCGGCGATGTGGTGTACATTGGTGGATATTTTCTCCACCAGCTATTAAGCAGGAGTGAATTACACTCGATATGTGTATAAGGAATAAGGAGGAAGTAAATTAGGGTAAATAAGGTGGTGTAACTGGTGTAATTTACACTGGTGGACACTACACCAACAGCGAACGAAAGAACCTAAAGTATCCATGCCTGTTTCGTACTCAGTCACATACTTTGATTACTATACGAGGCAAGAGAGAGGTCCGACACGCCCAACATAGGGCGCGGCCATTTTGAACCCTGTGACACAGTTTACAGCTAAAGAATCAGATCGCTTACTCTGCGTCGGCACTTTGGATCTCAATGTTTCAGTTTATATACTGTGCCACTCGGATAATACAATATATGACAACCGCCTATAATAAAACAGCAGTCTTCTGCGTATCCTGAATTTGTATCCCTGGAGTGGATGTTATTTTGGAACTTTCAACTGGTCCGAGTGAGCTAACTGATTCTTTAGCAATAAACTGTGACTCCCAAAATAATATTCACTGACACTGACAGCAGCAAGCAAAATATCAGGTGCGTTTTAATCATCTGCTTCTGCTTCCGGAATGTTCGGTTTAGTCGTTTTAACCTGTCAGATTAAAACAAGAAAACCGACAATTCCGAAGCAGAAGCGGATGATTAAAACGCACCTATTAAAAATATTGCGCCAAGATGTAGGCAACACGTAATAAGGGTTTAAAATGGCGGAGTTTTCTATCTTCTTTTAAAAGGCACTCAGAAAGCTGCGCAGTGCGACCATTCTCCGTATAGTAAAAGAAAATCAAAGTATGTGTACTCAGTGGACAAGGAATGACATTTCGAGGCATTTCTGGACTATTCTATCTTCTTTTTTTACCCGTACTTTTACTTATGACAACCGCAGCACACTGTAGTGTGATGGGTGACATTGCACTTCTTTTTGTATTTGTACGTTTCCTATAACGGCCGCCGACTACTACATGGTGCAGGGTAACGATATTAAAAGTATACTTATAAAACAAACAATTAAAACCATTATACCATCAGCCAAAAATAAAGTTAAAAAAAATTGCCAAATCTTATAATATGAAATTAAATTTAAAGGAACAATTATTGAACGTTAAAAAAATCTCTGAAGAAGGCCGTCCGATATTTGTCCGAAATCTCTGAGAATATAAATATATATATATATATATATATATATATATATATATATATATATATATATATATAAAGAAAAAAAAATAAATTTAATTACCAAACCCTATTCCTAAGATGGTACTCCAAAAATAAAAAAAGGAGAACAGTATTTAATACAAATCTCCAAGAAAACTTAACTATTAGGAATTACAAGTTTTAACATGTAAAATAATGTTTTTAACTGGAACTGTAACAATTTTTCGAGATTTACATTCTTAAGTCCAAGTTCAACGTGTTGTCAATGACAAGTGACGCCGACTTTTTTATCACAAAAAATACAGCTCTAAACGATAATATTTTAAGTAGTTGTTTTTCGAAATGGGTTCAGAGTACGGTAAAGAATGGTGGAAAGTCTATAGTTTGTTTTACTTTTAATGCATAATATTTTAATAAGTGATATTTAACAAATATTTAAAAGTTATGGACTTTCCATAATTTTTTATAGTATTTAAAAGCTAAAACGCAAATTACACTTTTTTATATTTAGATCAATTATTTCAGGAAACTTGTGTTTTAAGATTTAAAAATGTATTGATGCCAATTTGTAACCGTGCTAATTTGAAACATACGTTTTATTAAACTCATCGTGTTACGCATTTGTTGACATTAAGAGATAGAAATTTAATGTGACGTCTTGTAATACTTCGAATGAAAAATTGTTTTCTAACCTAAGAAAAAAGTTGAGTTGGGTCTTAATGTAGAATTATAAATAAAAAAACTCAAATTCATTTTAGAGAGACCAAGACTGTATATAAATTATATGTATTGATTAGCGATAAATATGCTAACGATCAATTATGAGATCAATTATTGCTGTGGCAGTAAACTGCTAGTGATCAATTGATGGTGGTAAATTTTGATAGACCCCATTAAAAACCCGTAAATACGTATCTCAGAATAAAAATCAATTTGCAATTCTTATTTTGTTCAAAACTTGTTCTACAAATAATGACTATACTTTTAATATTTACTCATCTTATCATTATGCGTAACTATAATAGACAAAATAACAAAGCGATGTGTGATTATTTTTACATAATACAAAATTACGGAACTATTTTTATATTTATTTATTTTATTTGAAAACCCCTTTGTTATATTTTCTATAATCTATCGAACTTTGAACCGTAAGCCTATGACTTTGTTTAAACGTTTTCTGAGTTGTGTAAAAGCCACGCGATTTTCTCGTGCCGGTTATATTCTGATGGCCTCATTTCGTTTTTTAGATATGATCCTAATAATTATATTAAAATGTGGTGCAATATTGAAAATGTAAAGCGATTGTTATTATTTTAAAATAAGTGACGCCAGTTTATCGCGAAGAACTCTTATCTCTAGGTTAATTGATGTTTGAAAAATATGGTTTAGCTTCAAAATTGAGGATCCGTTTGGCCGGAAATTTCGTGATTTTCACAATAAATTTGTTTGGTAATTTGACGATAAAAAAAATATATACAAAATCATGCGATATCAGTGCCAATCGTGTTTATGTAAACGATAAAATCTTACCTACATCTATAAAAAATGAGCTATTTCTGTATTTTATTGATAATAATATAGATACAAAGATCAGTTGAATGTAAAAATGAAGACAGTGGTGGATTGCCCAATAGTCAATTTGATAGGCTTAAAAAGTCAAAAAAAGGTGATTGCAATAAAAGTATCTGCTTTTGGGACTTAATAGATACTATAAAAATAATTATTCATGATATAATTGATAAAAGTCAAAATTAATTTTTTAAAAGGGAAAATAAAAAAAAATGTTTTATTAAGAAATGATAAATGATAAAAAATAATAAGCAATAGTAGAAAAAAAAGTCTGTAAAACGTGCAAAAACACTTTTTCCCACTCGGTTGAGTTGTCACACTCTCCAGGCGGGAAAAGTGTCTTTTTTTTCACTTGTTAAACACTATTTTATATCTAACATACACACATCGCCAAAATTCTTGGACCCCCTCGTAAATTTTAAAACGAAACATTTATCATGGCTGCTTTTTTGTACATTTAATCTTTATTTATTTCACCGTTGATACGTTTCTAAAAATGTTTACAAAAAAAAATTTCCACAATTTTAGGTAAGTACCAATGTTTAAAAAGTGGTTCATATCGATTTTGTGTGTTTAAGTGATTGTTGAATTTTTCTTTGCAATGGCATGGCAATAGAATTTCAGTGTTCAATAGAGCAAGAGTAGTGACTTTGCATGATGAGGGTCTGTTGAATCATCGAATCGCAGATAGACTAGGGATTCCCCGCGCTTCAGTTATCCGAATAGTGCGTTTGTACCAGGAAATTAATCCAAGAGAAGATCGGATTGTAGCAGGTTATGTACGTCCGAATCGAACCGTAACACTCTTAGCTGTCCGAACTCATTTTAGAAGAACGTATGGTCGACTTATTTCTGTGGGATCTTTTAAATGTTAATAATAATACTCTCCGTAATAATTGTATCCCATCAATAAATAAAATGTACTTATAAAAGTATAATTTTGTATATTAAACTCGATGTCATGACATGTATACATGAATTATCAAAAAAACAAAAGTCATAATAATAAATAAACAATTCTTGTTTCCCTCCCGTTGAGTTCAACCTTTTGTCTTGCTAGAACTGCCACGAAAGGTTGTTTAAATGATGACAACAATTTAATTCGTATGCCGTAATAAAAATGATAAAGATACGTAGTGCATGTCGCTACATACCTCCCCCCTTATATTAAAAATGTATTGTCAGTCATCAAAAGTCGGTAAGGTGTTGATTGTTGCAAAGTTCTATATAAACGAGTACCTTTACCATAATGAAAACAAAATTTTAATATGACATTGATTGAAATTATTAATGTAATTGTCAAAAATATGTCAATAGTAAAGTCAGTATTTTCTGTAAATAATATTATGTTTTAGATCGTGTTCTGGATAAATTATCCATTCTATTGCCCCGTTGTTAAGTGTTTAGTAATACTATGTTATCTAGCAGGTTCTTTCTATTATATAAAGAATACTGCTATTGATACAATTAAGAATTCACAGTGTCTAGGTACACGCTAACTTGTAAGCAATTAAAAAAGTTATATACACGCGAAACGTCTTGACAGAGTAGGTGAGCTGTGTCCATGCCGGTCGGCGTAGCCAGGTATAAATTGAAATTTTCTGGTGGCGGCGAAGCCGCCACCCTACGAGTATTCGTTGCTTCATTTTATTGTTGTCACGGCATTATTATTATTTATTCATGTATGTGAAATTTGCTTCTAAGGTTTATAAAATACTACTGCTAGCTGCTAGTCACGGCGTAAATAAAAACAAACAACACGCATTCACACAAACACCTCCCACCACAGCAATATGACGTTTCGCGTGTATTTAATATTTTGATTTGTGTACACTTTAGCGTGTACCTAGCAACATCATTAAGAATTACCATACTATTAGGACAGTTAGTGTCCTAAATAGAAAAACACCAACGAAAAGAAGGCATTAACAGTTAAAAAATTCTACGATCTAATAAAAAGTAATGTTAATCATGACGGACAAATAGAAATATGTTTTGTTTTTTTTTAAGTCTTTATTCTTTAAATATCAATGTGTAAATGTGCCTATTTGGTAAGTTAAAATTTCCTTTTCATTCAGTTATTTGTTTTTTTTATCAATGTGCAAAAAATGATAAGTTATTTGTTTTTATTTAGTAATTACTATTATGTAGACAGGTTCTTCCTTATGCGAAGAATACTGTCAATACAAGATATAAGTAAATACTGATTTTATTGTTCTTTTGGACAATTATGGTTCTCTGGGACAATTATGGTCCTTAATAGAGCAAAAAATAATAAATATACTAGTTACATGTAGTTGGACAATTAAGGTCCTTAATAAAACTACTGGTTGCATGTTTGGATAATTACGGTTCGTAATAAAAAATGCTATTAAATATATTTGGACAATTAGGGTCCGTAATAAAAAAATGCTAGTTGCATGACTTCGGTTATGTAGTGCTCATTTGCGTTTCGTTAATTTGTACGTTATAAGTCGTCATGATTAGAATTGGTCATTTCTAGATTTTATTAAATAAATAACCTGTTAAAGTGTTATTTACATGGTCAAAAATATGAAAATATTGTCAAAAATGATAACTAATGATAGAAATAATGAATATCTTCAATTCGTGGCAGTCAGCGACAAAAAGATTAAACTCACCGGGTTTAATGTTTCTGAAGTCCAATCCATGTATCTCGTTCGGAACTTTTCGAAATTTTTCGTAGGCGTACTGGATCCACAGTTCCTCCTTGTAGGATCCGATTAAAAATCCGGGTTATAGGATACCGCAGCAGGCTCGAAATACCGAGGCACGGCAAAACATAAAGCCGTCGCTAACCCATAAGTATCTCAATACAAATCAGATGTATCCGCAAAATCCTTGAAAGTCGGGCATTCTTCGGGATCACCAAATTGTGGGATCTTTTAAATGTTATTGATAATACTCTCCGTAATAATTGTATCCCATCAATAAATAAAAATGTACTTATAAAAGTATAATTTCGTATATTAAACTCGATGTCATGACATGTGTATATAAATTATCAAAAAAACAAAAGTCATAATAATAAACAATTCTTGTTTCCCTCCCGATGGGGTCAACCTTTTGTCTTGCTAGAACTGGCACGAAAAGTTGTCTAAATGATGACACTAATTTAATTCGTATAACGTAATAAAAATGATAAAGATATGTAGTGCATGTCGCTACAATTTCCAGTACCACAATACGGTGGAGATTTGCTGGAGCCAATTTACGATCTAGGAGACCATCAAGAGTACCCAGGTTACTTCCCAGATATATAGCTGCTCGTCTACAGTGGTCACAGGAACACAGAGACTGGCTTTTAGCTCAGTGGCGAAATGTTCTTATTTCGGACGAAACCAGATTTGGTTTAATTAGTGATAGTCGGCAAGACAGAGTTTGGAGAGAGGGCCAGGGCGACCAGAAAGACTGTCTTTTGTTAGATAAGTCATTCCATACCAAGGAGGAACAGTAATATTTTAGGGAGGCATAATGCATTGTTGTCGTACGCAGCTTATTCCCATTCCAGACACTATGACAGCTGATAGATATGTTCGAAACATTATTGAACCCATTATTTATCCTCTCCGAAATGAAATTCAAGCCAATTTTATTTTCATGGATGACAATGCTAGGCCCCATCGCATGAGAAGGGTACAAAATTCACTAGAAATTCAGAATATTTAAAGATTACCGTGACCAGCAAATTCGCCAGATATGAATCCCATTGAGCACATATGGGATTTCGTTGGACGAGCAATCTCAAACAGAATTAATCCTCTAATCACCCTCCAGGAACTCACAGTCGCAGCTCAAGAAGAATGGAACAACATCCCAATGAATTACATTGACACTCCTATTGTTTCCATGCACAGGCGAGTTAATTTACTACTACAGAACAGGGACGGGCACACCGAATATTAATGAATTTTTGATTTCGCTCTAAAGTGGTTTCCTTCTGGAATTTAAATTCTAGTAATCATTTTATTATGCACTATTTTTCGTTTATATTTTATTCTTGTTCAGTTAAAATTTAATTCAGGCAATTTGTATTGGATACATAACCAAATTAAATGTACTTTTAAAAATAGTGTCTCATTTTGACAAACATAAGGGGATCCAAGAATTTTGGCGATGTGCAAATCTGGCGTCATTCTATTCAAATAATTAGGATTAAATACTGAAGATACTTATAAAACATCCTGTAGGTATAAATAATTATATATATAAAAAAATACTCACCACGTGAACATGGTCCTTTCGCCCAACGCCACCGGGTAGATCGAATTTGTAGTGAGAAATATCAATCAGAGATGTCAGGTGGCCGTGGTAAGCACTAAAACATAACTATATTCGTATCTGGCCAATTTTTCATCTCACACCCAATACCCCAAAAACAAACAATAAACAACACTGTTTCCCATTTAATAAAATGTAGCACATCTTTAGCACTTATGCTGAAATGTAATTTTTAAATTTGAGAAAATGTCGGATCTTCTACAATCCTCCCTAGTTCGTCCCTGTCTCTCTTGACGCAGGCGGGTTATACTTGCTAACATTTCGGTCTTTTCATACTTGTTTTTTTTTAGTTTATAAAATTTATACACAGCAAAAATGCCTATAAAATTCAAGAACCCAAATTTAAAAAAAAGTTTCATATTTAAAATTTAATACTTTCTCATTTTAATTAATGGAATATGTTTTATCACTCTAAAGTCAAAACCATCTTTAATTAATACACTAGTTCTTCAAAAATTAAATTGAAATTTTGAAAATATATGCAACCAAAAACCGTACGAAAAAACCGTTTTATTTTCACTACACAGCAACTTTTTACACAAATCTTTCCTGTAAAAAATTTGGCTCGTTATAATGAATTCCATGATTTTCTTTTCTTGTTCATCCTGATTTTAATCTTCATTTGATTTTAATGCAGCTGTAAGAAAAAATAAAAACAAAGCGATTAGAAAGCTTTTACATGTTTTTAAAATCGATGAATACAAAGAGTGTTAAGCTTGTGTTGTATTAAGAAAGTTAACTAATTACTATGATTGTTTAAATTGATATGTATAGAATATACTACAGATATACGGTTCTATATACGACAAAACATGTATAAAAACACCTGTTACTCAAATTTTGGTAAGATAGTTAAAGCTATACAAGTGACAAGTTCTTAATATTTATTAAAGAAATTTTTGCTTCCTTCATTATCAATCACAGGAAGTATTTATTGTTATTTCTCTAACTGTTGGTCAACTTCTTCAAATTTTAAAAGCATTATTTGCCTTGTTTATTTAGGTTTTCCTAACAATTTTTATAAATATATTCAGCCAGTTAGGGCCCAACAATGTTCAATTGACAGCCCCTGATAAAATTTATTTATGCAAAATTACATAATTAGGTTTTTTTTTGCTCAAACGTCAGAAAAGATTACATTTTGCTATCAATTTATTGCTAAAATTCACAATAGCAAAGTTAAAAACCGCCAAAAGTTTATAACAAACATGATTGAAATAAGTTGATTACCTTTTATTACATGTGTTTCATTTGACTATGCTATTGATGACAAATAATTAATTTTATTTTTTATATACACAAATTTTTATATAAGTAATATTAAAAATGTATGGGTTATGTATATCGTATAGTAATAAACGTATTTTAAAAAACTGTTTCTAATTTTATTTATTTCAATTATTCCGATAATTTAAACCCGAGATGTTGTTTCTTGGAACCAATTTATACAAAAGCCAGGTAAATCCAAAATGTTGGGAACCAATTTACATATTATTTCAAATCCTCATTAAAATGCTGGGAACCTATTTACATTAAAATGTTTTCCCAAAACTTATAACATGTCTTAAAAAAGATGACAGAGTCAGGTAATTAATATCAAAAAGTTACTGGATCTAAAATGGAAACTTGCAGTATACCTTATTTGTTTCATTGTTTAAACTAACAGCTGGGGAATAAACCGATAAATGTGTTTGAATATAAGTTTCTGCAACTGCACGAGTACAAAAAACAAGCCCGTTTATTTATTATAATTTTATTTATCTGCATGTATAAACAGGATTATATAAATATAATATTGTGAAACTAAGTCAATTTTCCAAACTATAAATTCTTTTAACAACCATAATTTTAAGTAAATTAAAAAATCAATATTATTTATTTTGCCAAAGATTCAGAATATTCCTCGTGCTTGTGGAAAATCACGTTCTGCACGTGTTTTGAGTAAAGCGTCAATTCATTAACTCAAAATTATTAAATTTCAAAATATTTATATACTGATAAACAAAATTGTTATCAAATACTACTATGTTTAGATATTTTATTGCTGACTTTAAGTGAACTCGTTTTTTTCACAAATTTACGAGTTATTACACAATATTTAAAGCACGGCAAACATGAGAGTACATTAATAATTAGATATTGCACACTCCTAGTAACATAATAAACTTTTTATACTGCTATGCTCTAATGATTTTCAAATATGAGCATGTGACAGATCTCAAATTGATCACTTTTGACACTTCATCGATAGTGTTTACTTAGTAAATTCCCAAAATTTATATTTTTCCATCAACATTAACAACGGAATCCACCAGTACATTACCAGAAGTGCCGCTGTTATATTTTAATATAATTCTAAAATTTCAAAAGTTTTCACAATGTTTCATCAGTTCTAAATACTCTGTAAGTTTGAAAATAATATTATAACTTCATAGAAAAAATAGTGTATGCAACTCATATATAAAGGCTATTAAATGTCCATTGCATAACCTAATAGTTGATCATATCCAACAATAATGATTCTTTGTTTAGTTCCATAGCTTAGTTATATTTCAAAATTCTCCAAAGTTCACAGTGACTGACAAATAATTAAAGTTAATGTTATGCCGTTTTAACTCATCTACAAGATCATAAAAAAAATATGAAAACTTTGTTAAAACAACAACGCTTAAAATGATTGTAGTTGTCAAAAATGACTGAATTATTTGCCTCGAACATAAATATCTCAACATTTATTAAATAAATTCATCATTCTGTCATTTTTACTCAACTCCTACCCTAAGCAAGGTGGGTGCACAAATTTACCAAAGCCAAATAAAATATAAATATGTAGGTGTCAGCTCAGGTCGGTCCGGGAGCCTGAAAAACTACCTATAAAAGTGGGCCCAATGGAACTACAAGACAAATTTAGGGCATTGGTAGCTTTTATAATTTATTAATAACGATTTTCCAACAAATAATAGAGAGATATTGCAAATTTTTATAACGTCAGCCACTAATAGTGACAACTTAATTAGTGGCAAATAAATTCCATGCTAAAGTTTTGACATTAGAGTACTTGCCGTAAACATATTTTTGTTGTCTATAATAGTACATAATATGGAAGAGGCATTAGAAATTATCATCTTAGAGGGTTTAGATGACGATGATATTAAATATTTAATATTAAAAAACTTCGAACTGATACGAATGTCAGCGAGTGCACCTGAGAGCTACACAGTTGCCACCAATCTTTAATAAAGTCAGTTCTAGAACTTAAACGATCTGCGCATGCTGAGATGTCAAAATAAGAGCGGCGCTAATAGTGACTGACCTTAAGTAAACTTGCAATAACTCTATAAATGCCTAAATTTGATCGTAAAACATTTACGAATGTGTTAAAAACTTACTGTTCCAAGGCAATGACATCTTTATTTCCGGTATGTATCTGAGCTAATCTCAGAGCTAAGTCGTTAGCTTCGGAACCTGAATTTACGAAGTAGCAGACTGAAAGATTTTCGGGCAGAGTGCTAAGAATTTTCTGAGCACAGAGAAGGATGTTGTCATGAAGAAATCGGTTGTTTGTGTTAAGGACACTCATTTGATCACATCCTGCTTTAACCACTGCCGGATGACAATGACCAACTGTAAATCAAAAAAGATTTTAGTAATTTTTATAGTAAAATTAAAGAAACAAAACTGACGTCAGTTATGGGAAAACTAAGACTGCTGGATTATATCAAAATTGTAAAAATAGTTATTAGTTGAGAGGAAAATTATTTAAAACGATTAATACACGCATAATCTTGAAGTCCAATGAGATTTCTTAAAAATAGCCAATGAAGTCTTATTTTAGAGGATACAAGATATCTACCTAGATTAAAATAAATACATACATATATTTATGCGCAATAAAACTTTTATTTTAACTACAAATAAGCATTGACGTATGAGGTACAAATAAAATGTCTACCTCTTGAACCCGTACTACGTTCTGCAAATTAAATTACTGCGCTATTTTCTTCTTTTTTTATTAAGTACTTAATTAATATTATTTTATGTAATTCATTTTGATTTTTACATTAAAAAAACTACAGTGAATGATATAGTTGTTATTATTGTTATTAAGTCTCAACTTTTGTTAAATAATTATTTTGTAAGATGTCCTTGTTTGTGTTCTAGTAAAGGTTGTCTGGGATTTTGTTTTGAGTTATCTTAGCATTGAATTGAATTATCTGTTTGTTTTAAGTTATTCCCCTTTTTGTTAAAATTGGCCTTGTATTGTTCTACATTTTTTAGGTAATTATCAAACAATTTTTTTAATTTTAAGAATAACCTAGTACCGATTGCATGGTTTTCAATGCAAATTATGTTTATAGTTTTTTTTATTTTTTTTTGTAGTTGTCTTCTGAATGTTACTTTAAAGAAAACAGATGGAAATTATGAGAAAAATAAGTTCTCATGTTTAAAAAATAAAATATATACCTATATATTTGTTTGCAGACGAATAGGTAACTTTGGATTCTACACCAGAAAAATTGAAAGAAAAAGAATTGTTTAATGGATGCCGCATGTCATTATGCACCTTTTTAAAAGATATTGGATTTAAATGGAAAAAATATGATCCAAGGCGAGGGCTTATGGAACTTTCCAATGTTGCTGTGAAACGGGCTGTATTTTTAAGAAATTATATGAAAGAAAAGGAAACAGATTTTTTTCAGTTTGTTTTTATTGATGAGACGTGGATTTTTCAAAATGGGACTATAAACCGTTCTTGGTAAGATAAAAATAAAAGTGTGAAAACAACAAAAGTTGATAGTAAAAGGTACGTTAATAATTACTAGAATATAGCTACATGCTTCAGTTGAAATTTTTATTTATAGGTACATTATTATTCAATGCTGGAAATGAAAATGGGTTCATTGAAGGAGCAGAGGCTATATTTGCGTCACAAAGTAAGCTGAGTGATTATCATGGTGAAATGAATAATGAGAATTTTTTAAAATGGTTTGAAGAATAGTTACTGAAAATACTTAATGAACCATCTTTAATCATAATGGACAATGCTTCATATCATAGTGCATTGTTACATAAAACACAAAACGCTAGCTGGACAAAGATTAAAATACAAGAGTGTCTGACAAATTTGAATATTAGATTTTCGTTTGCAATGTTTAAAGCGGAACTTCTGAATCTTGTTGCATAGTCAGTAAAAGAAATCTGTTTCGTCTGTAATTCCTCAATTACTTTTTTTTTTTAGAAATAAACCACTAAAAATTTATCATCGTAGTCATTCTTTTTAGTAACGTTAAATTTTAAAAAGTATCCTTATCGAAGGTGTCTTTATAATAAATTGCATTTGAGTTCTTTATTTATATTTATATTGCTCTAAAAGTTTTAGACAATATTCTTGTGGTGAACTCAGATATTATTTGACAGTGTAATACTAAGGTAACTTATAAAACCAATAAATCTTTTACTTGGGAAAAAAGTGGGACATCTTAGAAGTTCTACTATTTCACCAACAAAAAAACTTACTATAATAGGTACCAGATAAAGCATTTTTTGTTGTCCCAGTATTGTTTTAGCATAGTTACTCGTATATGCACAAAGCACCTTCTTCTTGTGGTGATATGCGCCATACATCCGCTTTGATTTTAATCAATTATGTCATAAATGGCAACATTGAAATTTCTACTTTGGTGAATGTCAGTGTTAGGATCCAATTACAATTAGAAGAACACAGGTACGTCATCACTTGGCAAAGTAATTAATTGGTTATCGCCGCCTCCTGGGGGTTTAGTGGAGTGTTAATATTATAGGAATATAGGAAATATTATTTTATACTCAACAATTTACTTATTTTTTATTTATTGATAGTTATAGATAATATGTATTTAAAATTCAAAGTAATGGTTATGACGTAGCGGTGTTCTTCTAATTGTAATTGAACACTACCATTATAGTTCTTTATAAAATGGTGTAAGATTGTTTTCAAAACGTCATTTTATAATTAAAAGCTTTGGTCAAGAATATTGATATATTTTTAAATTAAAACTTCTATTTATCTATAAAAATACATTCGAGGTCGTTTTTTATTGAAATTTCTATTGATTGTATCACCAAAAAATCTAAAGATAAAAGAAGTCAAAGAAGTTAAAATGAGTCAAGAATATCGAAATAATATTAAAAGAATATTGAAATATTTTTAAATTAAAACTTCTATTTATAGTTCTATCTTCTATCAAAATACATTCGAGGTCGTTTTTTATTCAAATTTCAAATTATTGCATCACCAAAAAATCTGGAGTCAAAAAGAAGTAGAAAAATCAAATGTTTTCTATAGATAATATACCTTTCATACAATTATTAAACATGTATTTATCGTTAAAAAATGATTGACCCCTGATAATTATTTCAGCTTGAATTGAAATCCTTGCTTGACCCCATAGAGACCCTTCCTCGTTTTAGATATAATAATAATTATTGATGTTGGTGTGATAAGGTCAAACAAATCAATTTTCGCAATGACGCAAGTTTGAAATAAATAAAGGAAATAACAAATTTCAAACGTACTTACCGTGTGCTACGTTGTTAATACAATCTAAATAGGCATCATCTTTTTCATCGTACATGTATTGGGCATTTGCTCTTACAATTTTTAATGGATTTTTCCTGAAGAATAGTTGGCATGATTCTCTGTAAAAAATGAAGATATTCGTTGAGAGATAAATTAAAAATAATAACAATAAATAAAAAGTGTTCCAGTCAAAATGAGATTTTATTTTCAATTTTACGTATACAGGGTGGCTCACGCTCAACGGGACGGAGCTTTATGGGAAAACGACCAAAGATATAAAAAATTCGTTTGGGAGGAATACGTAGGTTACAGACGGCTACAATTTAAATTTTTTTAGATGTATACAGGATGTCCCACATAAGAGAAAATATACAAAGTTATATTATTTTTAATGGAACACCCTGTTTTTTATTTTAGAATTAAAAACTACATCAAAAATAATGTCAGTTAACTAAAGGTTCCCTATTACTATTATTATTAGTTTTCGATTTATTTGAATTTTTAAGGAAAAAAAGTCTCCCAGAAATTAATTGTTTACTCTTGTTTGAATAATTTTTAATGAACTAATTTTTTTTTCTTATGTGTGACATCCTGTATACATCTAACAAATTTTAAATTGTAGCCGTCTGTAACCTACGTATTCCTCCCAAACGAATTTTTTATATCTTTGGTCGTTTTCCCATAAAGCTCCGTCCCGTTGAGCGTGAGCCACCCTGTATATCTGAGAAAATATGAGGAAAAAAGTTTTCATGATGAAAGTGGTCAATAAATTGCTAAATATTATTTCTAATTATGTAACCAATGTCAAAATTGAAAAAAATTTCGAGCAGATTATAATTTTGATATTTGAGTTTTTAAGGTTGAATTCAAAAATACACAGTCAAAAAGGACGAAGATTTAATTTTGTATCCTGTGCAGTGAAGAATAGATACTATATATCAGAATAAGTCTATCACAAAATTAGTAATGCAACAAAATTTGGATAAAAAATCGTTTATTACTCAAGATAAAAAAACCTGGCTTAGAATCAGATTAGACCCTACATGTTTCATGTAATATGTGTAGGCTTTGATCATATATTACATAAGAATCAGAGTTCAACTGAAATTTGTGTTGATGCAGAAGGAAAAAATAAACGACAAAATAAATTTGATGTAAATAATAAGGTGGTAACCCTTAATATAAAGTAAATTATAAATTTAGGGAAGTACATTTAAAATATCATATTGAAGCATTAATTAGTGCGATAAGCGGACATGTTTGAAATAACACAACCCTACTTCAAGACAATTTGAGTCAAGACTTTTAACTCCTATAGGAATAAATGTCAACAAACACTCAAGGGCGTAGCTAGGTTGTTTTCTTGGGGGGAGGTAACACTAGTCAGATAATTTATAAATGCGCTTTTAAATTTTTTATTTATATAAACAGGGTGTTTCAGAATAAAGTACCGTAATTTTGTCACAAAAAAAGGACTTTTGGTTGATCTTTGTATACCATTCCATTTCCGAGATTTTTGAGTTTTAGTCCCACTCAAACATGACATCTATGTACAATTTTATCAAGGGCCGATTTTATAATGAATATTAAAAGTTACATTAACTAATGGAACCATTAGGTCCATAAAATCTTGGTCCCATTAGTTAATGGACCTTTTAATATTCATTATGAAATCGGTCCTTGATAAAATTGTACATAGACTTCATGTTTTTGTGGAACTAAAACTGAAAAATCTCGTAAATGGAATATTCTACAGAGATCAACCAAGAGTCCCTTTTTTGTGACTAATTTCGTGAGAAATATTTATTAATCTTAACTTTTGTTAAATATAGGGTGTTCAAAAAGTTTGGATCAAAATTGTTTTCTTGTCCCTTGATTCTACGCCAGTAATTTATCGAAATAGAGTGCGTTAACTAATAATGACGATTAACAAACATATGTATATGTATGTATATTTTTAAGTTAAAGTCTTTAACGTAAGAGAAGATATTTAGAAAATTATGTAATTATGAATTTCACTTTATCATCCTGTAGAATGAAAACTGAGACGTTTACAGCTAAGTTATATTTAGCTTCTCTTTATAATTAGTTAACATCTATAATTTTCCCAATTTGCGGTACTGAAACACCATGTATATATACAGTGTGTCTACTTAAGTTGGAACCATATGAAAAACTTTTTTATTACCTATTGGTTTTGTTAAAAAATGTATTCTTGATAAAAAGTTCTGCATGGTCCAAAACTTAAAATGCAACCATCAGATATCAATTTTTTTAAGCCGTACACGAGGTTTGTTAAACAATATGAAATTTATTCAATAATAAAGTATCTTGATTCTTTATACGACTGATAACGACTGATAAATTTGATAACTTATGGTTGTATTTTAGGTTTTAGACCATGATTGACTTTTTATAAAGAATAACTTTTTTCCAATATTAATAATAAAAAAGTTTTTTATATGCCAATTTAGGTAGACAGTTGGTGGCATAGGGAAAACTTTTTTATTATTAATTTTAGGAAAAACACTTTATTCTTTATAAAAAGTCGAGCATGGTCTAAAACCTGAAGTACTGCCATCAAATATAAAATGTCATTAATTGTATAAAGAATAAAGGTACTTTACTTTTCATATTTTTTGACAAAAGTCGTATACGGCTTTAAAAAATTGATATCTGATGGTTGCATTTTAAGTTTTGGACCATGCAGAACTTTTTATCAACAATACATTTTTTCACACAACTAATAATAAAAAAGTTTTCCATATGGTTCCAACTAAAGTATTTTTTAATTTTTAATTTACAGAAATATTTTTATTTTAGATGACAATGTTTGGGAAACTCTTTGTTTTATTGTATTTGTTTATCTCTCTATTTTTGTTTAATATAACGTTTAAAAAAATTATGATGTTGACTATGGGTTGGGCGGGTAATTATCCCCATTACCCCATTGTCTACGCCCTTGCGAAACACTTTAGATTTTGGCAATATATCTATTTTAACTTTTTCATTTATGATTACCAGCTAACCTAAAGAAAATTTAGCAGAATATCTAGCGAGTTCCAAACTGTACCTATAACACGTTTTACAGAAGATGTAGTGTTATATTCAGGGTCGTTCCAACCCGGGGGTGCAAGGGGTGCGGGGCACACTGGCGACAAGTCAAGGGTGCGACGAGCGACGATAAAAAATACTAATTTAAATATTTTTTTCTTCAAGCGTATAATAAAGTTTACATTATATCAAGGAACACATGTTGTAGAAGTAGCCTATTTTTATACTAGTACAAATATTTTTCATTTTTGTACTAGTATAAAAAAGCACAAACCTAATGTTAAATGGCTTATTATGAACATTGCAATCAAGTAGGCTGGAACTGTCATTTGAATACTTATTTAATTTGACGTTTGTCAGTGTATGGTTTAGTATATAAAAAAAATAGTGTTAACCCGTTCGTTATACCTGTTTTTCAAGTAAAAAGAAAATGTCAAAATTTAGTTTTACAGATATTCTATTAATTTCAGCTTTTTTATTTTAATTTTTTTTATCCATACTTTTATTTAAATACTTGAAGAAAAAATAGTATATGTCACTCGGATTAGAAGGCCCATTATATGTTTCGCCCAGTTTGCACAGCTTCGGCTAACGCCTCAGCTGTGCAAAATTATGGACTCAACATATAATGTTGGCCTTCTACTCCTAGTAACATAATATACTATTTCTCCACCCACATGGATATTAGCTTATCTACGCACAGATTACAAAACGAAAAAGTATGCTATTGCCTTCAACTGAACGAATATATTTCATATCCATTGTAGGTATTGAGTGTTCTCAATACACAAAGAAATACTACAAAGAAATGAAATCCACCAATCACCGTTCATATTTTGATCAACCGACTGCTATTTTTTTGTGTCATCGGCATCAACTGCTACGGTTATTAGCCTCGTGTTCTGTGTAGGCTTTGTTACTGTTTACGAGCGCCACTTTAGGAACAGCACTGTTAATTAGTACCCAACAGTGAATGGTCAAGTGGGGAATCCTACCAAGGCATCAGAATTAATTTTAAATAATTAAATTAAATGAAAAAAAACCGACTATTTTTAAAATTTTAAATATGTAAGTGACAATTCTGTCAAACTAATTGTCAGTATATTTTTTAGTTATTGAGACTAAACATACATTAAAATGGGTTATTCTTGTGTAGAATCGATAAATAATAGCATATCTGTTTTTATTTCGTCTATAATTATAAATAATTTATTAATTTAAATAAAACTATATGACGTCAATTTAATTACGAGTATTAAAGTAACAAAAATAAAAGAATATATGGTCCTGAGGTCAGCGTTCTTGCCTTCCACATGGAAGATTCGAGTTCGATTTTCGGATGGCGAAAAATGAAATAAACTTCTTTCTTTTTTTTTTGTTTATTTTATTTTAAAAATTATTAGAAGTCCTAAATTATTTTAAAATTCGTTATTTTGTCTTAATAAACTAAAATATTTTTTTTATTTGTAAATTTTCGTTAGTGGATCGTAGAAAAAATATTCTGTACAACTCGAGTAGATTGTCCACATATGGCACAAACTACTATATTGGTACTAATTTATTGGTAAAATAATAATATACAAATATTATCATTACACTACTTTGAGTTAAAAATGCATTTAACATTGCAACCAGTGAAGAAATAAAAAAAAATTGAATCCCTACGCAATTAATTCTAATTAAACACTATTTAATTTAAATTGCTTTAAGACTAGATAAGCTTATCATATCTTATCAATTAACAAATTAAAAAATTCTTAATAAGTAAACAAAATTATTGAAAATGCATCAGGTGCAACAAGGTCAAAAAAATAATTTGATCGGTTATTTTATTTAGTGAAATAACGTTTCTCACTTTTAATTAGCGTACCTAGAAGATAAATATGATAATTTTACATGGATACCATTTTATTTTCATCATATGTTTTTCTTTCACCACGATTTAATTTATATTTAAGTATGTTAATTATATCTATATATTCACAAACTGCTCAATAAATAATGAGTCGTAGAAAAAGTGCTGTTTTTCTCGCTACTTGTTGGTCAAAATATTATTTTTGCATGTATTATGTGGAAAAGCATAACAGACAATAGGTTCAAAGCATGTGTAGAGCATCTTACACGAATGTAGACATAAGCTGTCCTATTTCGCCTCATGTTAATAAAAATCCTATAAATTGCACTAAAATAGTTATCTCATTTTATCACTAGGTACGCCGAATTAATGTGACGTCACTGGGTTATACAAAAATTAACCATTTTGCCACTGATTTTCACAAATGGTTGTTAATAATTTGTTCTACGATCCACTAAAGAAAATATACATAATTTTAAAAATAAGAAACAAAAATTTGAATTTATGAATTTTACTAATTTACAAAATAAACTTGAATGAAAAGGAATTGACCGAGTCGCAGCGATTTATTGGATTTTCACTCTAGAATTTTTATTAAAAAATAAAGAGTTATGAGACAAGTTATTAATATTATTATCCTGTAATGATTAAGTGTTATTTTTAGTTTAATTAAAAGCCATGAAAAACTTAAAGACGAGAAGTTATAATTTTTATCCTAATTACCTAGAATAGAAAATAAATTCTAAAGATTTATAGTTATGTTTTTCCTATGACATATGGCTAATACAGTAACAAGGTTGGTTTACATTCTTGCCTGATCAAAAACTGATCTTTACTCATGTATCGGTGTTTCGGAATACTATTTAACAATATTTCACAAAACTGTATACGATTTTTTTCCCTTTTTGTCGATTTAGCAGGTTTTGAATCTGAATCCTCAATATATAACCCTGTAAATAGATATTTGTACGTCTGAGGCCCAATCTTATTTATAAACATAAAATATTTAGATAAAAAAAGATAATACGGAAGAAATTAGATAGCTTAACTTATCAACAACCCTATAAGCAAATTAAATATACTATAATTAAAAAATATTCCTGATGACTAATGATTCTAAAGAAATAAAACTAAGAAATCAATGATATTCATCCACAATAAATTTTCGACATTCTATATGAAGAATAATACATTTAAAAATGTATCAAAAAACCCAATAAATATCACAAAATGTTTCAGAAGAATTTCAACGATGTTTCTACTAAGTTGGTAAATAAAATTTACTGATATTAATCTGGGAATATTCTTTTTTAAAAATACCAAAAGTTTTTAAATTTGTGAATATATAAAATTATAAAATTAAAAATCTTTTTATAATAATAAACCTCACATTTCAATTAAAAATGTTAAAGTGGTAGGTGTCACTCCAAGGGGGTTAAAGAAACAGGTTTAAAAATTTTAAAGTGGTTAAAATGTCACTGTTTTAGAAACTTTAATAAAAATCAATAATTAGAAAGAAAATAAATTTTTCCGTTACTTATGAACCTCACTGTATGAATCAATGTACTTATTATGATTTTAAAAATCACCTAATCAATGAGATAATTGTAGAAAAATTCCACATTTCGAAAATTTTCCATATTATGTTATTCTACTATCAATGAATTGCTTTTTATTGTAATTTTAAAAGAACGTGAGTAAAATTAATATAAATTATTTTAAAATAAAAGAAACTACTTACCCGATAAGTTTTCCTCTAAGATCGATCGATTCTTGTTTGGAAAGCATTTTGTCTTGATATAAAATGTCTACCTGTCAAGAATCGATTGTTAAAAAAAACCAAAAAAAAAGTTATTGCTTTTCTTCTACCACTTTTGGTCAAAGACAACTTTAACCGGTTTATTATTTGTATTTATAAAGATCATGCGGTTGCGCGCGCTACTCGTCTATGTAGATTTCTGACGCTAGTTGTTTTATCTAAATAATCGCCTAATTAACAAAGTTAAAGTACCGAGTGTTAATATTTTATTGCCGATCGCACAACGGATTCTTAATGCGAGCATGCAAACCTTCAAAATTAAACATTTTGAAAAAAATTTAAAACATTGTAGTTTATGCATATCACACAAGAACGACACACCGAAGAAAAATATAAAATTTAAAAATTTGTTAAACATTATTAAGATAATAGTATATTATTCAATAAGTGTATAAATTTGACCATAGTATGGTCCATTATACACGAATTGAATACTATACTTTATCTACAACTGAATACGGGGGCTCACCGAAAACGAAAAGGGGATTTTTAGAAAAAATTCTTTAAAGTTGTTATAAATAGAATTGACAAGATTGTTCACAATTAAAAGACCTTTCAAATGAGGAGTATTTAAGCCACCGTGTGAAATAAAACGCCAATTTATACAGGAACTCGTTTAAAGTTATTTATTGATGTAATTAATAGTAACATTACAATTTGAAATATTAATAGCTCCGGTAATATCATTTAGATTATTGTTTTTTAAAGAAAAATTAGTGTTGCTATTGATGAGTACAGAATCATGACGATCACTGTCAGAAGATGGATGGATTATTAAGACCAACACAATTTTCATTATTGATTTGACTTAAAATTGCTTGAGCTGTTTCCAATTTGTTCTTTTTTGAATTGGCGATGTACCCTTCTGCTGTGGAAACGGATTTCCAGCCTCCATGACGTTTTAATGTTGTCATTGAAGCTCCAGAATCAGCAACCAATGTTGCAGATGAACGCCTGAGGCAATGGCCAGTATATCTCTCAGGGTTTGGTAATTGTAAAAACGTAGCAATTTACTTTCCCATTGCGCTAAATTTGTTTATTCCTATCACTTGTTTTGTACACTTTCCTTTTTGGAAATTGGAGAAAAAACCCTTGTGGTGCATTTTCGGGCCGGAGGTCTATATATTTTTTAACGATTTTAAAAAAATTATCCACAATTGTGAAATTCCTTGGGACTTTGGTTTTTCTGTGTGGCACGTTTACTTGAAAACATCCCTCAAAACATCTTAAATCACCAATTTTCATATTCTTTAATTCACAGGATCGGCAAGCACCCATGACCCCCATAATCAAGGCAACCTTAAAAAAAATGTGTAGATTACGTTAAAGAATTTTGATTTTCGATTCGAGTTTGGGGCTTCCTTTATAAACCTCTTAATTTGTTCACCAGTCAGAGCTTCAGATTTCTTAGGTTCGTAATTTTCGGATCTTCTTTTCAACAAAGCACGTAATCTTGGATATTTATCAATGCTTTTTAGCATGGAATAGTTTGTCCATAAAGTAGACAATTTGTATTTACTAGAAATTTCCATAAAATATACAAGCACAGTGTCTTCGGAAAAAGAGAATACATTTTTTGTTTGTTTCCACGACATAAATTTGTTGTATGCAATCTCATAATTTTTCCTCGATATTTCAGGTAATAATTCCAACGATGCCACTTTAGCAGCGTCGCGGATTTCAGGAAAAATCCATGTAATCATCGTCTTCCATTTTTTTAATTGATAAACTCTTAAAACGGGCTTAATATTTTAAGTTTAATTTCAAAAAAGAATCGGGAGCAACGAATAACTGTCACCATGCTGTCAACTAACTTGTCAAACGCATACTAGATCTAATGATTTTTAATTCTAGTGGGGTATAATTGACAAAAATCGTGTAATATGAATATATTCTCACTAGTGATATATGGATTGCTTTATGTTGCATTAGATACGCATATAATACATCCATATAATGACAGTTGTAGATAAAATAAGTTTATTTTAAAAATAATTAACAGGAATATTTGAATTTATAAGCAATACAAAACGTATCAGCGCTCATATTTATTGTCCAACAACTTTTTAGAATCTCAATGTACATAGATAATTTTTGAGACATTATTTAATTTATCGTGAATAGGCTAAAAGTACTCTTAGTTTTTTAAAGCATTTAAACTTCTTTCGTATTTTTGATTGTGATTTAACACCTAATTAAAAAACAGGATACATTTTGCAGGTTTAAAAAATCCTTTTTTGCATATCAACCCTTTCGCGTATATAAAACATATGCCCACAATATCATCTTAGGTTCAAAAACTACATCACAAATTTCGTTTGAAAAATTAAATATCCCGTCACATGACCGGAATCCCAATACCGGAAATAACAAAACCAGACGACAGAAAATTCCTGGAGCATATCGTGGGCTTACTGCCAAAACAAGATAAGTACATTTTTACCATTTTTGCGTTAAGTGCATTTATGTAACCAAAATAATTATAAAAATATACTGAAAAAACCAGATAAGTGTTGGAAAATGGAAAACTACTGAAAAATGTAGGCTTGTTTTGGCAATAATTCATTTTGCTTAAAACTGTACGGCTAAAATAAGTTAAGTGTACATTTGACGAAAAGTAAGAATTTCATATTGAGCAGAGCAAGATCCCACAACATGAAATTGTATTTTGGTTAAAAAATACTGATATGTAGGCAACCAATATTGTTAGTTGCATATGCACCCTTTTATTAACAATAATTAGAACCACGAATACACATCATTATTATTCTCAACGACTTGCAGTGTGTTTATATTGCTTATTAAAGTTATTTAGATTAAAAAAAAGGTTATTATGTCCTGTATTGTGTTTTAATTATTTTGCGCTAATTTGGAGTGGAAAGTAAGGACCAAAACAAGATTATTTCTATAGTTTGAATAAAAGAGGAGTGCAGTAAAAGTGGGAATATAACGTCATATTCCATAGACGTACAATATAAGTTTTTATAATATAAATAAGGTCGCACTTCGTATATTAAATTTTGAATGAAAAAAGTTATATTATTTACAAAAAATAAAAATAAACCCTATGTTTCTGACAAAATTAAATTTACCCAATAAATAACAATATGTTGTTTATGAGATTACACTTTTCTTAATCTCTTGGCATTAAAAGTAACACTTTAGTATCATTGTCTTTTCTGAGGTTTATTATTATAGGGTCTTTTAAGTTTTCTATTTACACTTTCCAAAACAAATTTTCCAACTTTTTAACATGATCAATGCATTTTCTCCACTGAAACTGTCTTAAAAAACAAATTTCCTACATCAGATAATCTAAATGATGTATTGTTTTGAAAAACATAACCTTTTAATTGTGTCCAGATCAATTCAATGGGATTTAACTCTGCGTGGTAAGGAGGCAATCTGAGAATTGTAGTTCCTTTTTCTCGTGCAATCTCGTCTATAATATATTTTTTGAATTTGTTTTTATGTTGCCTTGGTATTCCGAGTAATTCTGCCTTCAAGTATTTAGGAAAATTGATAATATTTTTAGGATTAAGCCGTTTTGAAATATTTTCTCTTTTCCATCTTGTTGTAGGTAGTGATTCCTTTAATCGACTGTGATAGGATGCATTATTCAAAACGATAACGGAGTTGGCTGATTTTTTTTAAATGTCCTGGAACCAATTTTCAAACAGCGCCATCCATTTCTTCACGGTGGGTCTTGTTTTCTTTGACCAGAACATTAATAAACTATCAATTATATTTAAACAAGAAATACAGTTAGCCCCAATTATTGTCATAATGTATATTATTTACTAATAATCTAATTATTAAAACCTTTTTTAATATACATGAATTCTTAGTTTTGGTAACATATTTTTATGTTTGTTTCACTATGTTTCACGGATTTGTTGACATGTGGACATCTCTTTTTAGCTAAAGAATTTCGAGAACACTTCTCACTCCCTCAGGCTCACTTATAAAAGAGCGCCACGGAAACGCGATTAGCCAGAGCGCAGTGGCGTATCCAAAAATATATATTAACACCTATGAAAACAATAAAATTATTAAAATTGAATTTATATTTTTGTTATTTATTTTTATGAAATGTAACTCGGTGTGCACTGCACAAATGAACCAATGGAGAAACCGCCCCTCGATGTGTATAAATATACTCCAGATTCTAAAACCTAAACATAAAATGGGTTGTGAGCAATACTGGCAATGTAGTTTAAACCGAGCTCACGGGGATTTTCATAGCAGTAAAATAAATTACCAGAGACAATATCAATGAAAGAAACATTCTCATCTATACTGATAGCAGACAAGCACTACTCACCCTGCACAAACTATCTTATTCTTATATATGTTCATGTCCTGCTCATGCATGGCATTACTTCAATAGGACCGTTATATTGGGACAGGAAACTACTGTTTTATCTGCTAAAATTTTTTAATACCGATTTATTTTCTTTGCTTAATGAGGCCCGTGCACCTAGTGGAATTCAGTTTCCTTTTCTTGCGTATATGTTTAAGAGGAATCTCACAACTACTTTCCTTAAAATGGATAGGGCAATTTTAATTAAGTTTGTCTTTTCTTCGATATATAGGAAAATATAGTCACTACTAATACAAAAAATATAAATTATTAAATTATTTTACACTACTCAATCGAAAAGTGTCAAAATTACTTGAAAGTTCGTCCCGCATTACGTCATGCGCGGTTTGGACGAATTTTGAATCGAAAGTCAGCATACCTTTAGTATATGTATCTTGGTTAACCAAAAGAGAAAAGAACATACCTCTAGATATGTCAGCGAATTCCATTTTTTGTTATTTTTTATCAACTAATAGGTTCCTTATCTTATTAATATCATTCAATTAACGGTTTTTATGACTAACTGTAAATAAACTCATTTAGTTAATATATGCACCAATTAGTTAAAAAACACTTATTATAGACAATTGCCCACTTATTTGTTTTGTTAGAAATTACTACTATGGGTAAAAAACAATGACTGTCGCAAAAAGTACTTAATTTGAAAATTTTAATCCAAAATAAAAAATCTGATGTGTCCAACACATGACTTTCCTATCTAGTTATTATAGGCTTTTTCCGGTTATTTTGTGTAAC